GAAATATAAGCAAATTATTAAGGGCTGTATTTACTTTTGAATGTGATTCTGCTGGTAATGTTTCTCTAACCTTGTGTACAATTTTAATTTAGAAAATTATTATTTTAGGGTCCCTAATAAGTTTGATTAGAATTTATGATTGCAAGAAGTAAATATTATTTGAAAATGATGTACTGGTAACCAAAATCTGTTGACTAATAAGATTCACAGGTCACACCAAAAAAATTTTTCACTTGTAACTTGTCACATTCTTCTTTTGATTTTTAATTACCATTGCAAATGACTCTACAATCTTTATTTGTAAAATGTTCAGAGCTTTCCTTTTTGAAATAGGGGTGATTTCCCCTTGGGTCCCTGTCTCAGTGCAGTCAGCCTGCTCTAACAAAATGCCATTGACTGGGTAGCTTTCAGACAGTCGAGGACTGTCTCTCATAGTTAGGAAGAAGCAGTGACCACTCCTACTGGTGCACTCGACTCCAGCCTGTCCTCTCCTGGTCCAAGCACTAATGTTCTGGAGCCACTTTTATCAGCTCTAGCCCCATGCATGTGGCTTCCACCAATGGCTTAAGCAGCTCTTCAAAAGCCCCTTCCCATTCGTACCGTCACCTTTTGGGGTTAGCATTTCAGCATGTGAGTTTAGGGGCACACAAACCTTCAGACCACACAAACATTCCAGCAGATGGCTTTCAGCCTCTGTTTCCTGCCGTGGTTTCCTCTTTAACATTACTTTTGATGCATCTGCTGCTGCTGCTGGATATTCACACTTGGATATTCACAGTGAGACCTTCATGTGAAAGTAATAGCACTTGTCACTTTCCTCCTCCAAACTTTCCACAAAGCCAGCACGGTCTCCTCTTCTCAGAAACAAGCCTCCCGGGCATCTTTGAATTTTTTCTCTTCCTTGCTAGTGTGGTGTTGGCCATTCACATACCACGAGTTGTCATTCATTCTTATAAAAAAAATTTTTTTAATTTGTCTTCTTTTCTGATCATGCTCACTGTCACCTACCCAGCTGGTCACCTGCCTCGTGTTCATGCAACCCCCTCAGTGCCCTTCTCACCCAGCCCTGTGCTGGCCAGGTGAATCGCCTAGAGCCTGCCTCTCATGAGCTCTTCCTCCTGCTCAGATACGTTCTCTGTTCTCAGTAAAATTGCTCCAAGATCTGGCCTGACTTTAATCTGCTCTTTTTCCATCTCTTTACCTTTCTGAAACCTCTTTTGCAGCCAACAGCTTGACTCATGGCTTCCTGAGCCCCCTTCTCTCTCCATCTCTGCACTCACGTTCCTGAGTTCACCCTCATCGATCACCCCTTCCTCAGCTCCCCAGACAGGACTTCAGTGGCCTGATGAGATCATCACGTCCCTGGTCTTGCCCTCTCCTCTACCTTCAGTCTCCTCCAGAGGCGCTTACTGTCTCTAGCTGATTCAGTCATCTACTTTCTTCACATCTTTGGCATTTCTTCCAACTGTGATACCTTGAACAGATTCTCACATCTCGAATCTTACACATCACTGTGTATACAAGACTGACAGTGTCCTCGGGACCACTTTTTCTTACCAAAATGCTCTGCACCTAGCAGATACTAACACTAAAATGTAAGCCCTGGAAAGGCCAGACATTTTTGTTGGTTTCGTTCAGTAGTCAATGCAAGTGCCTAGAACCGAGCACAATACAACCAGGTACATTTTAGATGCATAATAAATGCTTGTTATGTAAACTGTAGATGTTCAATAAATGGTGCTTTCAAGTCCTTCATACCTGCTGTGTTACAAGAGACTAGCACCCTTTATTTTTTATAATTAGGGTATTGTGGTGAAAAAAAGGTGAGTGCAATTTTCAGCCAGACTGTTTTAACGGGGCTTGATATCTCCTTCTAAAACAATTGTGTTTTCCTGCAGATATTAACGAATGCCAGTTACAGGGTGTATGCCCGAATGGTGAGTGTTTGAATACCATGGGCAGCTACAGATGTACCTGCAAAATGGGATTTGGGCCAGATCCTACCTTTTCAAGTTGTGTTCGTAAGTAATCACTTAGTTCTATTTTGGGCCAATTTATTTATTTATTTATTTATTTTTTGAGGGTGGAGTTTGAAGTGGGACAGAGAAAAGGAAGAAATTTATCCAAAAGAAGGAAGATCTACTTAGAGGTCAACTGAGTGTTGTAAACATGCAGGAAAACCTCATTAATCAAAATGACAAGAGGAAAGAGACCAGCCTGATAGACTAAAATAAATCTGTACAACAGAACCTTCTCCAAAATGCATTTTTATTGTGTTCAGAAAGTAACAGCCAAGACTCAAGGTGTAGCGAACAAGCCACCTAGGAAATAAAATGATGAAAAGAATAAGTTAAAATGAGAATACCCAGGAAATCAAAAGTTTTCCCTTCTAGTATTTTAAGCATTATTTGGACATAACTAACCCCCCCCCCCCCCAGCTTCTGTCTTTAATTCAAATTCTGACTCACTGGTGTCTAACCAAGCTCACTGTACTTTCTTAGTTGGAAGATTTTGGTAATAGCTACGAAGACCCTGCAATTCAGATTTTTCTATTTCTAGTGTCAAATACTCTATTCTGTTGTCTACCAAATTTTCCCCAAAGTTATACTCTTTTTGCCTCAAAAATGTTGTCTCAAAGAATTTTTTTCTTGTACCTACCTGATAAGAGTAAAAGTTCTCCAACAAAGCACAAGTCCTCGTATTGTTTCTAAAAATATAAATTCACCAAGGAGACTGTTTGCCAAAAAATCTACTCCATTATAATCACTGCTGAGTGCCAGATGGTTAGAGTTAGATGTGCATTAGCTACCAGGTTCTCAGATGCAGGTTTTTTTTAAGTTTGGTTTATTTTAAGATACACGTCTCCATTAATTTTTTTTTTTTTTTCATAAAAGAACTGGTGTATAGGCCAGCGGTGGAGGGAAGAGAGGATTCAGCAGAGACAAAGTATGGAGCAGAACAGGCAGATATACTGAAATACACTGTTGAGGGCAGCAGCGGTTGGATCAGGAGAGGTCTGCTGTGCCAAGGGCCACCTCACTGGCGGGATCAACTCAGACGGTAGCGGGTGATAGTGCTGAGACTTAACCCCTAGGCCACAGATAGATTCATATGTCCATTATTGTAAAGCAGGTAAACACTGCAGGTTTTCAGTCCACATACAGTTCAAGTTTAAAATTTTTAATGCATGGCAGAAAGCTGTCAGGATCATTGTGAGGACATTTCTGTATATTTCAGTTTTGATAGGTTTTAGTTTTATTTTTCTGAATTTTTTTTTTGAGGTTGCTTTGCATTCTTCTGTTACCCAGTTTTAATCATGTGGTCAAGTTATGTTCTAGATAGAGACGCTTTCATTCACTTTTAAATATCTCTTTCACTAACTTTATGCTCTAAGTGAGAGGCAGAGACATAATGGAATTCAAATGAATGTAGCAAAAATAAAAAATAATGGTCTCATTTGATACTTTGAGGTTAGTTTATTGAGTCTTTTAGAATATTGTTACTAGAAACTACTATTCTACTTTAAAAACACTCTGAATGTGGATTAGGAAATTTAGTACATAAATTCTTTTTTCAGTTTTCTTGCACAGACAGTTCTGATCATGGACCAGACAGACAATTATAGGACTTTTTGGCAGGTGGTAAAATTAGACTGTAAAATTATGTTTGCATGCAAGGTATGTTTGAGAACTTGTGCAAGGATTTAGAAATTTCAGTCCAAAAATCACATTGTTGACAATATCCAGATAATTTAGGCATAATTTCTGGCTGATTTGAATTAGTAAATATTTTAAATAGTTTTATAATTTAAGTGTAAAAGTTTTCTTGGAGTTTGAATATAGAACCTATGTATATTTTTTTTCATTAAAAATTTGATTTGTAGTCTAGTTAAAATTACTCCATGGAAGGTTGCAGATTAGGTAAACTTGGAGAACTGGTCGCAAAGTGTTTTATTAAACTTTGTCTAGATCAGATGCCTAGAGTTAAGGGCAGACATCCAGGTTTTAATAAGATTGTCAAAATCTGCCAGTGAGATATTTGAAACACATACACATTTGCTAAGCATTTATTTCTCTGTCATTGCCCAAATAATGCTGAGCTTATTAAATGACCATCCATTCTTATTTGAAAAATAAATAATTCAATTTTGTGGTTCAGCTACAACAGCTGAAATGATATTAAGAGATGTTTGTTGCTAGTTAAATGTTCCAGTTTGGAGTTAAAACCTGGCCCCCACACCAGTGTTGAGCAGGCAGAATTTATTTCTCTCCTCTCAATTACCACATGTCACATCACAGAGATACGTAGTGTTCCTTCAGGATTTGTGACTTGGAACAGTCTTTCTGGTTTGTTGTTGAATGATGCATTATTGACGAACTCCATGGGGAAGTCTGAAGACATCCCCTGAGAATCAGGCAAGAAGGGCGTGTTCAGAGTAGGGAATTAACATGTTGCCAAGATGGCGGTGCCCTTGGTAGTCATGGGGAAGTAGTCGATGGAGGTGAGCACACTCACGGGCATGTGCAGACATGAAAAGACATAGAGCAGAGTTGCTGTTTCACATTTGGAGTACCTGTGCTTGGGAGGTAGAGAGGCGGCCATGGATAGAGTGGCCTGCCGGTGGAGACTGGCAGTGTTGCTCAGGCCAGTGTGAATGGCCTGTTGTTCATAGCCAGTCCTTGAAAGGCTTGGCTGAATCTGTGAACTCAAAGAAATGTGCTTGGCAACAGCTGAGTCACAGTGGGATGTTTCTCCCTGTTCTCCAGTGGGCCAAGGTGAACACCCTCCAAATTCCTTGACTCCAGCCAACATGTGGATCCACCATGCTTTCTCTCCTTGTTTGCCCTCTGTTCTTGACTTAATGTAGCAAGAAGGAGCAGCAGAGGAGGGTTCTGGCCCTTACTGCTGCAGACCTCTGAGCCTGTGGCTTGTCAGTGGGCAGATGCATTCTAGAGTCTTGCCATAAGCTATCTTCAGGGAAAGGTGAAGTTTCAGGACTTGTTAGAGCAAATGCAAGAAAAGTGCAATAGTCTGTGCAATTAAAGTAGTCAGAGCTGCAGTTAATTTTCTTCAGGACTTCAAGAGCTCCAGAATGAGCACCCCCAGGTTCAGCTTTGCCTTGGTCTTCTCCTTGGGTCTCTGAGAAAGTCATTTAAATCTTTGTAACTTACCTGCTTTCATTCTTCCCAATTCCTCTGTGGCCATCTCAGCGTAGGGTCTGAGCTTTCCTCAGATCGTGTCCCCACAGCATCCTGGCCTGGAGGCAAGAGGCACATGTGTACCCCAGCTAGTAAGTGCAGTGACAAAACCCAGGCCCACGGTGTGCTGGTCCTGACTGTCCACATCCTAACTACAGGCTCTGTGACCAGACCTTGGAGTATTGCTTTCAGGTTTTCCTTTTATTCCCCTTCTTTTAGAAATGCAGAAGCAGAGGCACAGAGATATGAAAGATTGTTCCTAAAGTTACACAGTCCATAAGCACTGGAGCCCAGATTTAAAACTGATCTGTCTTCCTCCGTAAGTTAAGCCTTTCATCAGAAGGAAGGTAACAATGGTCAAAAGAGACAGTAGCAAATCATTCGTTTAAGGAGAGCTGCTATCTTGTCTGTAGCGAAGATGGGCTAACTCTGCAGGATTGTGCTGCTTTTATTTGGGTTACCCAGAATTTATTCTCAGTAGCCCATCTCCCAAAATAGTAGGGGTTCTCACTTCCCAGGGAGAGCTGACGCTCAGGTCCCTTATTAAGGCTTAGTTGTCCCTCCACCCTTGTGTTCCCTCACTCGTGCTCGTGGGCTTAAGGAGCTAAATGGAATTGCATGTGTATCATTTGAAATGATGCCACCATAACAGGAAAATTAGGATTAAAATAAGGGCAGTTCTGTGGGGCACCCCTCTTAGAAATCTAGGACTTAATAAATTTTGCTCCACCTAGTTGTAGATTTTTAAAGAAAAGAACCATGGGGGGTCTCAGTAAAAATGAATGCGCAGAGATCTTTCAATGGCTTCCTTCTTGTTTGTCTCCTCATTTTTGAAGAAATACATTAGCAAGTGCTTATGTGCACTTACCAGGAAAGTTATTTTTTATTCTTTTTAAAAAAGATTTATTTATGTATACAAGAGCTGGAATGTTGGTCAGAGTTGTGGAGGAGGTGTATGTGACAGGGTTCACCAGAGACAGAGTGGGGAGCAAAACAAGCAGATCTGAAATACACTGCTGAGGGGAGCAGTGGGAGAGACAGGAGAGGTCTGCTGCACCATGTGGGTCAGCTCCCTGACTGGGGATTGAACTCATGCTGCAGTGGCTGCACATATCTTCTTAGTGCTGAAACTTAACTCCTTGCACCACCAGGGAGGCCCCAAAATTTATTCAGAATATGGTCTCACACTTTGGCTTATCAACGGTTGACTTCCTCTATGCCAAAAGTTAGCACAGGATCATTGTAATTATTTCTCAGTGGAGAAGTTAGATGCAGGACAGTATCTCCAGAGATACCAAACCAGTAGGGTGTGTGTGTGCAGGGAGTGAGAGAGGAGAGAAGAAGGGAGGGAAAAGCAGAGAAAGGAAGAGATGAGATTTAAGGATTTGGCTAACATGATTTGGAAGGCTGACAAGTCCAGTATCTGAATCCCAAGGCAGTCTGCTGGGACAACTTTCCCGTGTGAGAGATCTTTCTCTCTTTCTCTCTCTCTCTTAAAACCGTGAACTCTTAGGATAAAGCCCACCCACTTTCTGGAGCTTTACTCAATGTCTCCTAAAATTAAGCATCACAGCCAAAGTGGTGTTCCAGATTCTACTGCTGACAAGTGACCCACACCATTGAGCCCGGGTCTCTGCCTCCAAAACCCTTTGCACTTTTTTTCACTGTGGTAGCATCTTACTTTACATAGTGATTCTATAGTATCTGGTACAACTGTCAGTCCCTGTGAAAGCATGAAAATTTACATTTGAACCAAAAGAGTAGAAAGGAGCTTGTGGATTTGGAAACACAGTTGCTGCAGGAATGGGTGAGGGAAAGGCAAACTGGGGCAGCATTTGGAGAGAGGCCTAGTCGGGAGAGCTTGGACCGGGATGGGACTTGGAAGGGAAAGAGACGACCACCAGGCGTGGCCTGCTCAGCATTTTGCCTTGGCTTGGAACTGAGTCAGTGGAGCAGACCCCTTCCATGTTTCCATCGGGAAGTGGACTTCTGGAAGGCACTGCTGTACCTAACTTACCCTCACTTTCATCCTGTGTTGTCTTATGTATTAGCAGAAGAAATAAGTTGCAGCAGGTGAGTATCGAAACAGGCTGGAAGGCTTTTGCCATAATGTCTGGATGCATCTTGTGAGTCATTGCCAGTTTGGGGGCTCCCATTTGCTCATCACTGGCCCAGGGGAGAACACATGAGATTCTGCTAGAGTAAAAAGAGCTGCTGGTGGCTTGAAGTATAGGGTCTTTCTGACCCTATTGGGAGATAGGGTCAGAAAGAACTGCCCTAGCATCCTCTCTTCTGGCTAAATACAAGAAAACAAAAATAAGTCGTGATTGTGACAATAGATGACTAGATTTATTCCAGAGGTAGATTTCGGTTGAAATTATTTTTCTCGCACGTATGCACACACCCGATTCCTTGACCGCTGAGAGACTAGGCAGCACAGGGACATGGAGTGCCCTGCCTCATTTGAAAAACAGACCCCTACGTCACGAAAGATGATGAGTTAGATCTTGGCAGACTTGTTCCGACGTGTCATTTCTAATCTGTACTGTATGCTCATTTTATTACTGCGTGAAAAGCTGCCCTGGTTTTTGTTGGTTGACACCAGGCTTTATTATCTTTCTGCTTCAGCGGACACCCCCGTGGTCTCTGAGGAGAAGGGGCCCTGTTACCGACTGGTCAGTTCTGGAAGGCAGTGTACGCATCCTCTGTCTGTTCACCTCACCAAGCAGCTCTGCTGTTGTAGTGTGGGCAAGGCCTGGGGCCCACACTGTGAGAAATGTCCCCTTCCAGGCACAGGTAAGACGAGCTCACATTCATTTCCAGCCGCATGAGTACACAGCTCAGCTTTGAGAGCCTGGTCATGTCACGCTAATAGACCTTGTGTGGGTCGACCCCATTGATTCCTTGATGGAACATATGCTTATGCTGAATTTCTCCAACTGGAAATGGAGGGGATTGTGTTTGTGATTGTAATCGGGCTATAAAGGCAAGTAACTCACAGAATATCTTGCCCAAACTCCTGTGAAGTTTGAGGGAAAGCTGACTATTTTTATTTTTCATTTGGTACATAATTGCTAATGCTCTGAAAAAGTGAACTATCTGTGTGCCTGACTTCTTTCAAGGAGCCACCTACTTCTCCAGTGGGGCCAAGTAGAGTTAAATGGCGGAGAAAGAAACATACCCTGCAAATATCAAAGAAGTGACCCACTTTGACTGGCATGGGGTAGGGGTGAAAAAAATCTCCTCATTTGAATATTTGATAAGTACTTCCCAACTTCCCACTAGAGAGTGCCATTCAGTGTGTTAATTCTGTAATTAACAACCACAGCTGTAACTTTTAGTTACAGATTTGTTTTTTTTTTTTTTAATGTCATGGTCTACCTTTGTTGGGAGATAGGGTCAGAAAGAACTGGTAGGCAAAGGATGGTGTTGACAGTATATTGGGCTAGATAATTTTAGATGCTTCCAAAGGAGTGTCCTCCTGTGAGATCTGATCCATTCATTGAAAAAAGCAAACTTGTTACATTATCGACATGTTTCTCTCTAAGTTCCATAATCCTTCCATGAGGCATAAATCAAGATGGTAAATATAACACAGGAGACTCCTCCACCAGATAAAATCATTAAATTAGAAAGTGATACTAAAGGTTGAACTTTTGCACTTACCCCTTTTTTTGGCTGCTCTGATTTTCATAAAAAACATTTATTCCATTAATACTACAAATATTTGCCAGAACAGCATTTTAAGAATTGTGTTTCATAGTAAATATTTAAGAATGGGGATCCAGCATTGAATGTGTAGATGTTAGACCGACAGTATACTAGTCAACGTGTTTAAGAAGTATTTTAGAGTTTTCATTGAGAATTAATTTTTAGGTCCAGAGCCTTTCATCTCTTAGGAAGTGAAAGTGAGATGTGACTTGGTTCCCTTTCACTTTTAAAAGTAGAAATAACCTGACCATCAGCATCTTGGTGACTTGCCTCCGGCACCAGTGCCAAAGGAATTAAGTGGCTTTGCCCTCCTGAGGCCACACACCACCTTGCTGCCACTGTCTTTCCCCTTTGCCTCTTCCTGGGGGTTGTGCAATGGAGGTGGAGAAATCATGAGTCCAGTTTCCATTTAGTTTTGATTTCTTTTTAAGCATGCAAAACCACTTTCCTGATGGGACAGTTCCAAGGCACAGAATACCCCCTTGTCCCCTGGACACCGAAACCAGCTGGTCAGGGTCTGGCTGTGGCCCTCTGGCCTTGCCTTCCCTTGAAGATGACTGCAGTCTGGCTTGGCGTTGCTGTTTTCTGTGATTTCCAGCCATCTTTCCAGCATGCCTTGACTTCGCTGGATTCCTTCTCACCATCCCAAGAATCTCACATCAAAATCACTTCCCCTTTCCAGTTCTTCCTAAGCTGATCCCTCCTTGTCAGTGGAGACCCGCTGTTCTGGCTAAGTCCTTTGCTTTCACCAATCAGAGACAAGCTATGAAGTTTTTGGCAGCTCATTTCCCTGAAGAGTGTACTTCTTTGTTATGACTTTACTAGTCATCTGACTTAGGTATTACTGATTTCCTTGTGAAAAGCAAATGAAACTTTATGCTAAAGCAGGAAGGAAAGAAGGACACCTGATTTTTGGCTGTTATGACAATGCTCCTCCTGCCCCCCATCATTAGTTACATATAATCATATACTATCTTATATGCTTCTCTATAATATATAACAAGTGAAAAAAATTATTGGAAGGAAATGCTTCAAAATATGTAACTGCTTATTTGGGGGCTAAAGGTTAATCGGTCATATGATTTTTCTCTGTAATATATAATAAAGTATGACTGTATGGTTTCTCTTAGTTTATTGCTTTTGTATATATGATATATAAAATGTGTGATCTATATAAAATTCTGATTGGGGAGGATAAAAATTAGCAAGTATTAGTTGTTTGGTAAAATAAATGGTTGTTTTTTTTTCTGTAAGTATGCCAAGTTAACAAATTGAAGCATTTTGCATCTGTTTTTGAAGTTTTTAATGTAACTATATTAGTGATGACTTATTAAGACATATTCATCATGATATTTTCCTCTGTATAAGTTTGCACTTTTAGAATTTTAAAAGGAATATTTTCCCATCCCAAATCTAGCTGCTTTTAAGGAAATCTGTCCTGGTGGAATGGGTTATACGGTTTCTGGCGTTCATAGACGCAGGCCAATCCATCACCATGTAGGTAAAGGACCTGTATTTGTCAAGCCAAAGAACACTCAACCTGTTGCTAAAAGTACTCATCCTCCACCTCTCCCAGCCAAGGAAGAGCCAGTGGAGGCCCTGACTATCTCCCGGGAACACGGGCCAGGCGTGGTGGAGCCAGAAGGTGAGCGTGGAAGTGTGCTGCCACCTTAGTCACCTGTCTGTGTGTCTTTGGTTTGTTTTCCCTGTTCACACCCTTGTAGAAACAGGGGCCTTGACATTACTGACATTTCAGGGTGGATAATTCCTTGATGCAGAGGCCGCTTTGTGCATCGTAAGATATTTAGAATCATCCAGATGCCAGTTCCACCCTCTCCTCTCCAGTTGGTTGTTAAACCCTGGTGTGTCCAGACAATGCCAAATGTGCCCTGGTAGTGGAAGGGACGAAATCACCCCTGATAGGAGCAATTGTTCACATGACTCTTGCAGCAGAGTACTATGGGCCCAGTAGGTAACAGTGGCCCAGAGTAATCTTAGGATGTTGTCTTGCTATTTGGGAGCTCCTTTTGCTTGTTGTTTATTGCTGGAGGCTGATTACTATTCTTCAGGAAACAGACCAGATTCTTTTCTGCATCTAGAGGACCATTTAATAAATATCTCCTTTGTAAAGTGGAACCCGGCTTGGAAAGTTAAAGACTCAACTGACCTTCCATGAAAGAGTCCAACAGGCAGTCAGGGAGGAGGAGAGGTGATATGAGGGGAGATAGGAGCCCATTGGAGGGATCTGTAAGGTCAACTCCTGCAGTTTTGGATTCGCATTCTGAGAAACTGATTTCAAAAAGATGTCACAGATATCCCACAAGGAGAACGTGGCTGGATCAGGGAACACAATTTTCCAAGCCAATGGTGAAGGCCTGTGCTCTGGAGGGAGTGGAGTGCAGAGCCAGTGACTCTGATGTTCCTCTAGCATTTGATAGAGAATTACCTCTCTTTGTGTCATCATATAAACCACATACCAAGACTTAGAGTATTTTTGTTACTGTCAAGCTTTCTTCCCTGGGTTGAGAGACCAGAAATCTGAGATTTTCTGGAATTTGTATTTGCTCTCATGATGTTCTCAAGGGCTTTTCACAGTAGATTCTTAGGTCAGAATGTTGGTGGAATTTGTGGGGGGAAAGCGGTGCCCAACTAAGGAGTTGCAAGCGAGCGTGGCAAGGTCTCCTTCCTGTTAAGGAGGTCTGTTTCAGGACCACGAGCCTTGGTGTGTTCCCTTGATTTGCTGTACCTGTGCTGCACCAGACAGCAAGTAGGAGCTCGCCCAGAATAGGCCGTATCGAGCAGCTTGCTTTTGTAGCCAACACGGACGATGTTTGCAGTCCTGCAGCCTCCACTCAGGCAGGAGAAATGGGCTTCTGTCCACTTGCTGGTGCCTAGAGTTTCTTGGTGGTGAGTTAGACAGTATTGGTGGTTAGCTGCCTCTGCTATTTTAAGAATATGCAGCAGTGACTATCATTTATCTGGGATGCTAGTTGTCTTTAAGTGTGCATTGACCTATGTAGTCATGTTTGTGGGGACACCGACTCAAGAGAAAAAGCATAGTGAATAGTGACCTGCTTTGAGGACTAATTTCTGAAAAGCAAGTCTTTAAAAATTCAAAGCCATCATCACCTGCATCTGATAGTAATGTTCACGATCGTGTGAAGCTGTTTGTTTCAGCTCAACTTGTTTGATATCAAGCTCGAGCTTACTGAGTCGGGATGATTTTTCGTGTTAAGGGTAGATAGATGAGTAATTAATGAAAATGCTTTCTTCTGGGAATGCCACAAAATTGAGATGAGTCATAAAAGAAGGTAGCCGAAAGTGTTGTGTCCTTTAATACTTTTGTTTAAGGAGAATTTGAAAGAACATCCCGTCTGCCCCTGAACTCCTGTGGTTGCAGATTGACATAGCAGAGAGCTTTTCTTTGTCTGTCATATGTAAGCTTCTACAGGATGGTCAATCACTAAGTTCTGTACGTGATTTTCCCTTGTTCTTAATCCTTTTAAAGAGATACTGGATTTGTATTGCTTAGGAAATGAAATCTTGAATGAATTGTATTGCATTAATGTTTTGTTTTTTCTTTTCTGGTTTCAGTGGCAACTGTACCACCTGAGAAGGTAATTTACTCATTATTTGCAAGTCTTTTATTTACCTTCACTATGACTTTTTCTTGTAGCCTATGTGTGACTCTTTGTAGTCTTAAATATAGTGATGTGTCTATCATGATTCATGTGACTTACAGAAATACAGCATTCATTCAAGAAATATTTATTGCAAGCCTGCTATATGACTGATATTCTGAATGCTAGGAAAACAACAGAATAACTCAGAACATTTTTCATGGAATTTAGAAGAAAAAAAATAATAGGACTAATAAACCTCAAGGTCTTAAAAACAGAATACAGTGAGTCACCTGGGCCATCTATAAAGTGAAAGATTCTGACGTGTCTATGTGATTGCATGTTCTCAGAGTGCGTGTATACTGGCAAAGCACCTCTCAATTCAACTAAAATTTAGCATAGATAAAACTACAGTAAGAACAGATCTTACCTTAAAAGTTATAAGCAAGTACTAGAATGTAATATACATATACATTTTAGAAATGTTTTGTTGTTTTTTGACATAAAATGAATAGGCTATGAATTGTGAGATCTATTTAGTAGGGAATGTGGACATTTTTTGGAACTAAGTCCTTTTTCTATGACACTGCTCCTTGTCTGATTCTAGCTCTGATTCTTTATGATAGCATGGAAATTAGACAATAAATGCTTATACATTTGTGTATCATTCATTCAGAATACAGCATTAGAATTTAGACAGGCATATACATATGCACAGTTTTTTAAAATATAATATGGATTAGAATATCATAAATATTAATTACATTTGTGCTCAAAGGATCCAGAATAAAAGAAAGTAGGATTTTAGAGTGATAGCACCGAACAAAGTGTTCTGTTTACCTGAAAAGTAGGATAATACACACACACTTGTAATTCCTGGAAGCATTTCTGTACATCAGTGATGTACAGCCCTTTGCAATTTTGTTGAGTTTGAATTCAGTTCTGGATGATTCATCTAGAATTTTCTAGATAACCTCGCATGTGCTTGGACTGGCCAACTCCCTGATAACCCCATCTTACTTCAGCTTGGCTATTTTCTACTTATGATAGGGTTGATGGTAACTCTCACTAGACTCTAAAAGAGGGGCTTTTACTGCAGTTTGTTTGGAGAGGAGGCAGTGGGGAAATGTAGTCATAATCTTGATGGTTTTGATATCTTGCACAGGGTTCATGATCTTAAAGACTGATGAAGAGAAAACAGGACAAGCCTGGGCTGGGGAATTACATGTGTAAGGATCTGGGTGGAAAGAACAGCAAGAGGTCAGTCAGGGGAGAATGAGAGGCCTGGAGAGATCTCGGGCTGCTGTGGATGATTTAAAATACTGGGGCCTCCCTGGGGGCGCAGCGGGTTAGAGCACAGCACTGAGAAGCTAAAGCCATGTCCACATGAGTTAGATCCCCGCCCCGTAGGTGACCACATGGCGCGGCAGACCTCTCCTGACCTGCCTGCTGCTCCCCTCAGCAGTGTACTTCTTCAATCTACCTGTTCTGTCTCTGGTGAATCCTCTCACCACCCCTGCACCTCTGGCCTGTACCGCAGTTCTGTATGCATAAATGAATAAACCTTAAAAAAAGAAATACCAAACTGAAGCTGTAATTGTTGAAGTACTGGGCCCCACTTGTCCAGTGGCATTGATCAGGAAGTTGGCTGCCCCATGCTGATGAGGGAATTTCTGTCTCTAAGCTACAGGAATGAATTAACTTCTGATCATGGTGTGCTCCTTGCACACCCCCATCCTGAGTTGCAGGAATGAGATGTGATGTGATTGAGACTGATTGAGTCATTTTTTAAATTTATAATAGTTTACTTTTACATATTTTAGTGCATTTTTCCATCTTAGTTGCAATCCCCTTTGGTTTCCCATCACCAAATCACCCATGTGTCATCACCATAGTGCAGTCAGTGCATTTCCCACTCCCACTCCCCACTGCACCCTGATTGAGCCATCTTTAATAGGTTATCGAAAGCTGGTCTGTATTCTTCAGTATAGGAAAGGGGGTGGGGGCAGATAGAAAAAGTGGTCAGTATTTCTGGAAGATGAATCACAGTAGTGTTACTGAAACAGGAAGAAAGAGGAAGCTGGAGAGACCAAGTATACCACAATAGCCCCAGACAGGCTCTAGACTAGTGTAGTGGGAGCTGTGACTGTAAAAAAGGATGAGCAAATATAAGGACTAGTGGAATGAAAGAGGGGCTTCCAAAGTGACTTTCACTTGAATGGGTCCTGACTGTGACATTGACAGAAATGAAGAAATAGGAATGAGAGCATGGACAGTTTTGGATCTGAGGTGTTTGTGGAATATCTAAATGGGGTTACCTGTAAGCACTCAGCATCACAACAGCGGATCTAGCAGAAAAGGTGGTCATTAGAACCAACAGAGTGAAATAAAAGACGACAGGCAGGTGGAGTGAGCTTTCTGGAAGGTAACAGTAAGTCGGGCAAGAGAGGGCATGTGGAGGGGAAGAGTGACCAGGTGGCTTGATGAGCTCTCTGTCCCCATGCCCCTGTGGGTGAGACCTCAGCTCCTGAGCAGTCCGGTTGTTCAGTTTGCATGAACCCAAAGGAGTAGGCATTGGGAGCTAGACTGGGTCACAGACTCTTTCTTTGCTTATGGCCCAGGGCACCGGATGGGTAACAAGACCAGTGAGGAAGCCCCCTGTGTTCCTTCAAGATCCCCATTTTCCTCTTCTGCGTGGCTACAGCTGATGTGAGGGCTGTGGGATAAAGTTACTAGATGGGAGGGGAGGGGAGGCCCTGAGTGTGTGGCTTCAGTGCTTTAGTGTCTTGGGTGTTCTTTGCTACAACACATCTGCTACATCCATTATTTAACCTGCAAAATGTGGCTGGTCTCACTAGCACAGAAACAAAGGCAAATGAGGTGATGTTTTACTCCTCCTTTGGGGTTTAGTTTTGCCTGAGTTCAGGCCACTGTGGGCCCTTAAACAAGGCATTTGCTTAAAGGGCGTGAAGGGACACTTTGCTTTGGGCTTTTGGAGGTGGGGGAGGGTTTGTGCACAGGTTAGCTCTGCTGAGGAAACTGAAGCACTGGCCATAGTAAGAGCAAAGCAGTCAGTCATTTAAAAAAAAAAAATCACGTAACTATGGAATATCCTATAATGTCTTGTGCCTAAAAATATGATTAAATAAAAATTTTATTCTATGGGAAACTGAAAACAATGCCTGCTTCAATTTTCTCTTTCATTCTAATAACCAGGAAATACCTTCACTGGATCAGGAGAAAGCCAAACTTGAGCCTGGTCAACCCCAGCTCTCTCCAGGAGTGTCAACTATTCACCTACATCCTCAGTTTCCAGGTAGTTTATGTTGAGCTGTGCTGTTTAATTAAACTAGTATTTTTTTTTTGGTCTCTAATTTTAAAATTTAATCATTGGAATTCATGAGTGAAATTAATTATGAAAAATATGCTTACATGAATATATTAATATACCATTAGTGTTAAGTATGGCATCATAATGATAAGTTTCCCTCTATTTTATGTAGTTCAGAGTATTATATATATATTACTGAGACATTTCTGAGGGTCATCATTTGATGGGAGGTAATTTTGATTGGTCCTGAATTGTTCTCATCTTCTTTCTAAATGTTGAAACCAGTGCAGTAGATTAATACCATGAGCTTTAAAGCACAATTAGTTCTTAATACCTGAGAATGACCTGGGTATAATTAGATTACAGTACAGTTTCATTTTTGAAGTGGAATTCCAATGCACATGACAAGCTTTCATGGTCTTTCTATCCTCTTACTTGTATAGTTGTAATTGAGAAAACATCACCGCCTGTGCCTGTGGAAGTAGCTCCTGAAGTGTCGACATCAAGTGCTAGCCAAGTGATCGCACCTACTCAGGTGACAGGTGAGTGTGATACCTGTGCTCTGGGGTCCCTGGAGGAGACACAATAGGGCAGTGTGGAGGGGAGTTCCATGGCAGGTTGTTTCATAATAGCAAAATTCAGAAGTAAGCTAAATATTGTTAAAAAGGAGGGATGTTTAAATAAATTATACCCACACAGTGGGATATCATATAGCTATTAATGTTTTAAAATATGTAACGTCATGAGACGCATTATAGAATGTTTTAAAATACACACAGTGTAATGATTCCAGTTGTATTTTTTTTTTAATATCTTCAAACACAGAAAGTGCATCCAGTGTTCAGCTCTTACCAGTTAATAGATCCTGGGTAATCTTTATGCTTCTCTCTCTCCCCCTCTCCCCCTGTCCCCCCTTCCCCTCTCCCCCTCCCCCCTTCCCTTCCCCCTTTCTCCCTCTCCCTCCCTCCCTCCACACACAAATATATATAGTCAAAATTCTGTATTATAAACATGTTAATCATTAGTGACAAGTATAACAATATAATAAGTTTTGAAACAAATCATCAGTCTAAAAGAATATCCTAATGTATAGTGAGCTCTAATAATTCAGCAATAAAAATCCTAATAGAAAAATTGGTTAATGATATAATCAGTTAACTTGTGAGTAAAACAATAAGAGACATGTAACAGGAAATTTCATCATCTCACAAAGTTCTAGAAATTGAAATAAAATAATTCTTACCAAATTATTATTTACTTTTTATTAGAGTGAAGTTGAGGCTCTTGTAACATTGCCAAGAGGGTTTTAGTTGGTTCAGCTTTTCTGGAAAGCACACGCTGACAGAAATTTAGAAAAAGTCTAGAACTTTGGACCCAGTGATCATGTGTTATCTAGTGTAAGGAAATAATATCCCCAAAGACTGCAATAATAGCTCATATAGATGAATACTTAGCATTACATGTAGTAGAGGAAAGATAAAAATGACCTGAACATTTACCTGTGGAAGATAGATAATTAAGTTACATCTATATTTTGGAGCATTGATCTGCCACCAACACAGTATTTTTGAGTTTTTATTAAAATCTTTCAGAAAGTGGTCACAAAATGTTGTTAAATTCAAGATTAAGTATATAGAAGTTGAAAGATAGAAGCTATTAATATCATTTATATAGAGATAATACATTGAAAGTGTCTGAAAATGCTAAAAGAAAACAGACCAGCTATCAGCAGTGATTAATTCTGTAGCGCAATTAGAATAATTTGTGTGTTTTGTGCAGTCCACATATTCTAAGTGGAAACTACTTTCTTAAGAAATCTCATTTAGAAACATCATGTGTTTAAGTTCACGATAACATTGCAGGATAAGATTGGCAGGAAAAGAAGGAGAAGTTAATAGTTTGTACCCTCCATAGTTAAGTATGTATAATTCTTATACGTAAAAAAAAAAATAGTCCCAGAAATTTATCAAAACTATGGTTTTAAGTTCTGTTCATGGCTGGATCCAGATAGGCCGGGAAACTTGTCCGAGCGCCGGTGTCCAGGGTGAAAGGCAGGGGACCGCACCTGCTGGGTCACACCCTGTGCTCCCCTGGCCTCGCATATCCTGAAGGGGCATTTGCACCATAGTCGAGACCCTCCCCACAGATAACTGCAAGGCTTCTCTTTGCTTCCACTGGAAATGCTCAGCAAAAGTATACAGAAACATTAACTAGTCTAAGTATTTCCTATGCAAAATGTTAGTGAGGTTAGAAACAGGCCTGGCTAGAGTTGCTGTACTCCACTGTCAACTGTGTCTACCCACTTTTTGCACACATGTGGAGGAGGCACACAGACATGTGAAGCACAGTGTGAAGCACAGCAGGGATCCTCTCAGGGTTTACCAAATCCTTACAAAGATAAATCACAGCCGTTACATTGTAATTCACAAGCTCTTTCAGTTACCCTATTTCTGGTCTCCCCTTTGAAAACATACTTTGTGCCTTTTCAATAATGACTTAACTTCCGTGGACAGACCTACAAACTAGCTTTGTGGAGATTTAATTAAATTGGACTCAGTAAATGTATTGTTATAATTTATGCAGCTGTGTGAGGAATAACAGATTAAAATTTCAACAAAGCTACAAAGCTGATGGAGAAAATGAAAGCCGTGCGGTATGGAAGCCTTAGAAGACAGCTTAATTTGAGTTTGGCAGAAACACAGGGCTAACATCTGCTATCACATGTTTTGAACACGAACATTTCCTTCCAAGAGACAAGTGACACTGAAATTCTATTTTCATGCAGCATTTAAAGGTGTTTCCCCCTCCTATGGAAAAAGAGTATTTCTGAAACTTCAGGGCTTACCATAACCAGTAACCCACATAGCACAAGAAGGCTGTTCTGTATCAAGTTTAATCTAAGTCAAAATATAGATGTTCCCACTGGTTTGATATGCAAGCCAGACATGTAGATTGTTAGCTGCAAATGGATCAATTCTCTCAGGAATATTATGCAATGTTTTTTCCCCTAAAACAGAGAGGAGGTGCTTTTTCCCATAAGTTGAAGAAGAGGATAGAAAAATAAGTAGGAGTCTAAAGTAAATAAAACCCATTCCACATTGCTTAGTGGTGACATCTTTTTGATGGGAAATTTGGAAGTAGCCAGAGTAGTTTTAATTTATGTCATATACGTTCTGACATGTAGTAATTATAAAGGGAGTCACTTATTTACTGGAAGTTAGTGTGACATTTTCCACTCATAATACCTAAATTAGTATCTTGCAGCAGAGTTAGTAGACCGCTCCAAATGATACATTTCAGCCTCTAAATTCTTGATTTAGCACAGTGTCTTGATAGCTCAAGGATAGGTTGGAAAATCAAACCTTTATTTCTCTGGCAAATATTTACAAAGTGGAAACATCTGTTTCAATTGTTGTGGGACAATTTATACTCATGGTGGGGTCGTTAGGAAGCCAGGGCATTTTGGAAACCTTTCCTAAGTTTTGATGCCTTCCTCCAGCCCTTTCCTAACTTTCTTGATGGCCCTTGCAGACCAGCGAGAAATGATGCTTTGACTTCCATAACTGCCTTCTGGAAACCTTTGCAATTATCATGTCCCAAACATAATAAAAACTATTCGCTCATCAGATCTTTTCCAGAACTCGGTATTGACCCCTTTCAAAAACACATGTCCCTGGAGCATATTACCCATGTCATTACAACCTCAATAAACTATGCCAATGGAAAATGAATCCATTATTTCATGTAAAATCATCATGCTTTCATATTTTCAGACTCAGTTTATTTATTGATTGATACTGAACAATCACAATGAGGGGGAAAGCTAAGGATCAGCATGCCCATTCTTGCATTTTGCCAAAAGCTTTCTTTTTCACTTAATTCTAGAAAATGCAATCAAGATACTGGTTATTTAAATCCAGCGTTGGCCTTTTTACCAGGATAAATAGTGTTTGGGATTTCTGTGGGCTTTTATCCATGACTCTTTTTTTTTTTTTCTAATTCCACATGGACTCATGAAAAAGAAACAAAATAAGGCCCTTGATCCAGTGATAGCCAAGTTGTTTTAGGAGGCGCATGTGACAGGAAAGGATAGGACAGTCCTTAGTCTGGGTTCTTCTGGTGAATGTTATGGAGGATGTGTGGAAGATGCTAGTAGATCTGTCTTTTAGTCTCTGGAAAATCAAACATGCTAAAGAAAAGACACTCCCATCAACTGGTTTCCCCCAGAGAGGAGGACTGAGTAATTCTAATGGCAGCTTTGCTGTATTTCCAGAGCTTTTGTCAACACAGTCTGCTGAAAGAAATGCATGTTTCAACATAAACTGATTCATTCTGTGGGAACAGGTTCAGATACCTAGGAGTCACCTGTTAAAATACTATAAAGTGTAATGTTACCTTAAAACAAACATGAAAAAGATGGAAAACTTTTTTCTGTATTTCAAGATAGTACTCTTAGGACTTGTTTTCCCATGTCATGCCTCTGTGCTCAGGAATGGAAATTGAATAGAAAAGGAGAGAAAGAATACAAAGGGGTGGTGTGAGACATGATTCAAGACAAGAGTTTTAAATTTTGAGTATTGATAACTTGATTTTTTTTTTCACCTTAAAAATGGGCATGGACTGATTTTTTGATGACTGTTGAAGAGATGGTAGACAGGTATCTTGAAGGTGTGAGGGCTTTTACTTTCTGCCCTGGAAGGCTGAAATTCTGCCCAGCAGATGGGTGAAAGGCATCTCTGAGGGTAACTGATGATGCCCTTCACATTAATCAATCTCAAGAAAAGGACCGAATGTGGAAGTGCAGTACACTTCAGCTAGTGCCCTTCTCTCTCTGGCTGTGTCCCTTAGTACCCTCTAGTGGTGCCACAGTGACATTTCTCCCATGTGGCAACACTCCAACCAAGGGGGTTAACATTTGCAACCTGCATCTCTATGGATTTCATCTATGAGGCAATCAACTATTATGCTTAGACATCCCTCATACATATCATTTGACCTCATCGCTCCTACTTAAGAAACTAGATTTGGAGGGAAAGGGCATTATTACTCATTTCGTAAGACTAGTTAATTCTTAACTATTTCTCCTATTTCAGGGCCTGCTTAAAAAATGACTTAAATAGGTTGGCAAGCCATGGTATAAGAATGACCTGCACTTGAGTTAATCAGCCCATATCACTGAATTAAGCATCACAGATCACAGAAGCCTTGTGTTTGCCTGTGTAGCAATTCCATTCCAAGCTGTGCCTGAAAAACGGCACATAAATATTTAGCAATCAGCAAATTGGGGCATGGGCTGGGAGTGTGTCCTCACCACATGTTTCATGCAAACTTGGTTTATGATCTCTTCCCTTGTTGTGAACCCTCATCCCTAGCATTAGTCTTCAAATTTTTCTTTTTGTAAATATGATAAATATGTCTTCTCTGTGTTAAGAAAATGGCAGAACAGAATGTAAAGGGAGGTCAGTAATAACAAAGAAAAACAGAAAAATCTAAATGCCAGTACTTTCCAAAGATGACACCAACCAGAGGTAGAGAATAGAGGAAGAAGATTGTGCTTCTCTAAATGATCTACCAGGAATTCCTGCAACCTGGAGTAGATACCTTTTGATCTTCTGATTTTCATGGCACGTAGAAATGATGATATTTTCAAAGAAAGGCTTTTCTGATTATAAAAGTAGTAATACATGCTCACTATGGATATTTGAAAAATGTAAAAGAAAATAGCAGCTCAATCATAACGCGTGGGGTTTTTTTTGTCCTTTCAGTCTTTTTCTATGTGTAATTTAATTTAAATCACAGTCTGTAGTACAACTTGTACCCAACGATACTTAACAAATACATATTTTCCTCTTGCTGATATTATGATTAATGATATAAAACATACCCTGCTATGTATGTATCATCATTCATTTTCTTGTTATTACCAATCTCTGACATTTAAATAAGCATGTTAATCACCCATTTTTTAGACTTTTGAATTTGATGTTAAGCTAGTTAGTTAATCATTTTTTTCTGAGAGTCAACTGGCATAAATAGATTTATGAATGATAGAAGTAGATGGTTTTCTCATACAGTCAAGTGATTTTGTGTAAAATACTTAAGCTCTGTATTCATGCTCATTGTAGATATTTGAAAAATGTAAAAGGACTCCTCCCCCCCCCCATAGGTGTTAGTCTAGCCCCTTTTCAATGCCTTGTATCAGTGTCTTGAAATAATAGCACAGTGAATCACACTTGCTAAAGAATGTGGTCTGGATTTTAGAGAGCAACTTCAACCCTAATTTAGTCATCTCCACAGTGAAACTTTGCTAGGGCCCTGTTCCTCATATCCTGCTGCAGGCCGCATGGTAAGTTTTGGTCACCCTCACATGCCTGTTCTCATTCAAACCACGGATCCCTATGGCAAGGCGGTGCTTCTGCTTGTCTTACTGAAATCCTGGTCTTCCTGTGTTTGGCCTTGTGGGCTTATTCATGGCAGTGTCCATGTTAACCAGTGTTCACTGTGATAATGATGTGATATTGGTGAGATAACAGTCCCAGGTGATTAGTCTGGTTTTGTTTTGTTTTGTTTTGTTTTGTTTTTTTGGGCGGGGAGGTTTACACATTCATAAAAGTTTGTTTCTTTGTTACACATTTTAACCATCTTCAGTATGAACAGTATTGGTAACAGTGACTGATGAGGACAGTAATAACTTCTATGCTTTGGGCTCTGTGCATTACTCAGATCATTGTTGAGCTTTAGAGGACACCACTTGTGACTGCACTGCTCATAATTAGCTCATCAGAAAACTCAAGATAATAGTTTCTAAGTAGCAGTGAAACCTTTGCTTATATCTGTTTTTCCCCCCACCATGTTACTTTAAAAGAAATCAATGAATGTACCGTGAACCCCGATATCTGTGGAGCAGGACACTGCATCAACCTGCCTGTGAGGTACACCTGTATCTGCTACGAGGGTTACAAGTTCAGTGAGCAACAGAGGAGATGTGTGGGTAAGAGATGTTGTTGATCAACAGCAGTATTATTTGATATTAAATATCAGCTCTTTGCACACAAAGATCATTTTTCTTTAAGTATCCTGGGAAAATGTTAACTATACTTAATTACATTTTTCTTTTAATCCCTGAGCCACAAGTCAAACAGAGGCTGGCTGAACCCATGAGCTGCTCCTATCTCTCGGTTGAGGGCTGCCTCTACCCTGCCAAGTGTAATGGAGTTACATAAAGTTGAAACAATCTCCCACAGATATTAGGTATAGTAAACAAAGCAAGAACTCTAGAGAGATCTATGTACAAACATATATATTGCAATAAGGGATGACTTTCAGCCAAGTGCATACACTCTGATTTATAAAGGGGATTTTCTACATTGAAAATCAATATAGGGTTTCACAAACTCAATGAATTTATAACTGTGGGATCTTGTCTATGCATCCTTGGAAAGCAGTAGATCTGAGAAAGGTGTCATGAGATTAAGTAAATCATTTTAATATATTCACACTAAATTAACTTCTCTTTAGAAACAGAAAACTCAACACTAGGAGTTAAGGCAAATATAAAACAACAAAGGCATCAAACTACTCAATATTGCTTTAGTAAGCTAAATGCCATTTATAAGAGGTGTGAATTTGGCAATTTGCAAAATTTGTATGTGTACATGAGGGCGGAGTGGCATATCACCAGCTCTGTAATCACAGCTTGTCCTTTCTTTGCACACACTTTTTGTGTCATCAGAACCCTAAAATCTGCTGCAGACAGACTCTAGTCTAATGCATGGAGGAGTCTCTTCCCTCACCTCTGAGAGGCCCTGCTGAGCCTCCTGGGATTTGTCCCCTGACCTGTGCTCAGGACATATCCCACCCCCAGGCAGGGCCTTCTGTGTTGACCAGAAATCTCTCTTGGAAACAGCAATGTCACCATTGTGGCTTTAGCTTTTCAAGCAAAACAACAGTCCTCCAAGTATTTGAGGGACTCTCATGGCTCCTTTCACTGTTTTCCTCAGTGATGAAAGTTCTGATTTGCAGGGAGGAGGGTGATGCTATTTATAGGCCCGAAGACTGAGAACTCCTTGCCACGCTACACTAATCCTTTATTCATTATTTTGTTACCAGACATTGATGAATGCTCTCAGGTCCGCCACCTCTGCTCCCAGGGACGCTGTCAAAACACAGAGGGAAGTTTCTTGTGTATTTGCCCAGCAGGATTTATGGCCAGTGAGGAGGGGACTAATTGCATAGGTAATGTGTGTTCTTCCTGATATAAATCCCCCAGACCTTGGTAGTTGGGTCTCCCAGAACACCATCAATTCAGTGTTTATTGACAATCCAGAGTATCTAATCCAACACCTGTCCTGACATAGTGCGTCGACTCTGGAAGATTAAAAAAGAAAAAATTCTTTTGGACTCCATCAAATTTTTTTTTTAAAGATTTATTTATTTGTGCATACAGAACTGGGGTACAGACCAGAGGCTCAGGGGCAGTGAGAGGCTTCACCAGAGACAGAACGGGGAGCAGAACAGGCAGATCTATGAAGTACACTGCTGAGGGGAGCAGCGGGCGGGTCAGGAGAGGTCTGCCTCGCCATGTGCACTCCTCCGGGACAGGCGGGAATCGAACTCATGCGGAAGTGGCTTTAGATTCTGAGTGCAGCGCTTTAACCCACTGCGCCACCAGGGAGGGCTGGACTCCATCAAATTTTAGTACGTGTTTAAAAAAAAAAATCGAAGAGAAGCATTGGAATCGATTACTTTGATCTTAACTTTAAACTCAGCTGGGAGATGGGAGAGGGTTCAAATTATATTTTGGGAAACCGAACTCGACTTTGTTTTGTGTTTTGTGCAGATGTTGACGAGTGTCAGAGGCCAGATGTGTGCGGGGAGGGGCGTTGTGTCAACACCGTGGGGGCCTTCCGCTGCGAATACTGTGACAGCGGCTACCGCATGACCCGGGGAGGCCGCTGTGAGGGTGAGTCCCGAGGGGTGGGGCCTGTGCACCTGACTGTGTTCGGGCTGCGCTCAGAAGCCGGGGCTGGGTTCTTAACTTTCCTCTGTTCTTCTGTGAATGGTACCAGTTCCTTCCCTCCCTTCCTGCTGGACATACATCCTCTTTGCTTGACTTTGGTGACTCTGGATTATTATCATCTTCCTGCTCCTCACTTCGGCATTCACCTCCCCTGGTATTTGAAGTGAAGTCACTAGAGTAATGGCTTACAGAGTATCTTAGCACACAGCCAAGGCTTGATTACAGCGCCTGCGCCATTCATCTGGGAACACGGTGCCGTTGTAAACCAGTGTTGCTTTTCAGTTTTTATCCTTTTCACCTCTGTACATTCCTTCGCAACTTCTTTCCTTCACATGTGTCCTGGCACTGACTTGCAGACTGTCCACAGAAGCTCTCTCTGACGAGCTCTGGGTCAGATTCCAACTCTGCTTGATAAAATCTCCTCATCGTTGACCAATGACTTTACTCTCATTATGAAAATGTGTTGGGAAGCTTTTACAGCATGGCCAAAATTTGGACATTTCTGTCCATGTTTGTGTCCAAGTCACACAGGTTCTTTTTGATAACCACTGTTGTACTTTTTTAATAACTATGGTCATGAAGAACTACTCTGAACCCCTCTTTGGATTTCCCTGCCTGGCTGCCTCAGAATCAGCCTCTTCTTTTTGCTTATTTATGAATAGTACCATTTTTTATTGAGGTAACCATAGTTTACAACACTGTATGTTAGGGGTATAAGTTCACACCTCTTCAGATGTAAGTCACTACACCATGCCCTTTCCCCTGAGTGCCCATAATCCTCCACCATAGGCCACTGGACCCCCTCTTTTTCTCCTCCCTACCACCTCTATCTCCCATAGCCTCATTCTGCAGTCAGATTTTAAGGTTTGTTTTAGTCCAGTGTTGTCTCTTTCTGTGTTTTCTTTCTTTCAATTCCACATTACTTATGAAATCATTCTGTATATGTCTTTATCTTATTTCACGTAGTATAATCTCTTCCATTTCTATCCATGCTGTCGCACAAGGAAAAATTTCATCTTTTTAAGTAGATGAGTAGTATTCCCTTGTGTAGGTACTGTAAGTTCATTATCCACTCCTGAGTCATCGAGCTCTTAGTTTTCATCATGGCTTGGCTGTTGTAAGCACTGCTGTGAACATGCACTGAATGAATCCTTTGATTTAGTGCTTTGTGTTCTTCAGGTCAATACTGGGGGTGGGATTGGTGGATCCTACCATAGATCTATCTTTGCTGGAGTGAGAACCATCCATATGCCTTCTCTAGGGGCTGGCTAATCTACAGTCTCAACAATGAACACAGGTTCTCTAGTCTGCATCCTCGCTCCCACTCATCAGGTGCTGAGCTGGGAAAGCACAAGCGTGTACACACTGCTGGGCCTCACATCTGAAACCCAGGAAAGGGGCATGGGGTGGGGGGGGGGTGTTGCCACCCCCAGCCCAGTACCTTCTCACCAGCAGCAATTCCAAAAACATGTTGCAGTACCTGCAGAAATTGGCAAAATCCAAACTATCAGATCAAACCACAATGCTGCCTGTGGGAAAAGCAAAAGTCGTTCAAGTCTAAGTTGACTATTGTAAATACTGAAAAGTCACACAGAGAAATTTAAGGAAGCAAAATGAGCAGTGACACACATGCGTGCGTGTGCGCGCACACACACACACACACACACACACACACACACCCTGTCCTCTAAGCTGACTAGACGTCTAGAGCAAGGGAGGGGCAGATTGGGCTGCTCTCAGCTGTCCCTTGGCTTCTGTGTGTTGGTTTTCTTCGTAGCTGTGATGATCCAGGCCTGGTGGGAGAGCTAATTAGATGTTTTTTGGCAGCATGCACCTGCCTCTATGGCTGGCCTTTTGCCCTGGCCCCTTGGGTTCTAATGTGGAGAGATGTGGGGCATTTTATGTTACTGGATCTCTGATCAGCTTGCATCAGGCGGGCGCAGTGAACTCTACGCGACCCCCAGGGCATGGGGTGGTACAGGTGCAAGGAGGAGGCCCTCTCCCTCCTGCCGGGAACCCTCCCTCTGCTCTGGAGAGGCCCGGAGCAGCTGGGACAGGGTAGAGGCTGGGGCATCAGCCCACAAACCCCATACTGACTGGAGCCAGGCATTTTGCCCCTGTGAACCTCAGCTCATCCCTGAAAGGTAAGGACTGTAAAGTCGACTCTCAGGGTTCTCATGTTACAACATCTCTGCTGATGCATGTCACCTTGCTGCTCAAAAAGTGTTTGCTTCTCTAACTTCCCAGTTTGGTGACTCTTGTTTTTGCACAGATCTTCTCAGTGCATCTATAGTTGTGAAGGCGTTAGAAAAAAAAATGCCTGTGGGTTTATTTGTGTGTGAAGCAGCAATCCCCCAAAGAAGGAAAAATCTGAAGTGAATCTTTAAGGTGCACATAGCACCTCGGAGAAAGAAGATGTCAGTAATAACGATACTGTAAGGATGGGAAGGAGTCGGAAAGCTATTGAGAGATTATGTACGTCAGTGCAAAGCCATTAGGATATAAGTCAGTAATATTCAATATGTGGAAATTATTTGGCAGAATTATGACCAGGCTTTCCTGAGTAAATAACATATAATTTCATCCCTATGAAAAGCCTTGGGAAAAAGGAGCCAAAAAATGTGGCTGTTTGCTCACTTTGTCATGGACCTGAACCAACAGTCCCAGGCTTCTGGCTCACTCAAGGTTTTCTCAGCTGTCACTAAGTTGCTTTCAAGCAGGGCGCCTATTGTAATCTACAGACATTATCTCATGAATCCTCATCATCAGGTAGTCACTAACTTCGAGATGGGGGACACGCTAGCACAGTGAGAGCAGCAGGGAGTTCAGGGATCTGACCTTGCGTTGCTCAGCATTTTACTTACTGGACCAGCCTATCTCCATGACCTTCTCTGGTTTAGCAGCTGTAGTTCCACCCCAAAAAAAAATCGCATCCAGAGAAGAATGTAATGCTGTTTGGAACATGAAACTGGCAAACATCATCTTTTTGTAGAACAAGGAGTCCCAGTACATCTGACCTAGGGGGGGGGAAAAAACACAAACAAAAAACAGTGTGTCTTTGTTGGCAAAGACTCTTCACTCATTGGCGGGGGGGGGGGGGCGGGGGGGAGTAAGAATGCCAACACTGACCTGGTGCTTATTCTCTTAATATAATCTTCAACTTGCTCACATTCAGCATCTTTTGTTACATGTCTAGGAATATCATGGGAGATGGTTTTAAGAATTTGCCAGAATGAAGACATTAAAATACCCACATGCATTTCATATGTTCCTCTCACTCTTCAGCTTATGTCTTCAGAATTTGTTTATACTTTACGTATCAGTAAAGGTCTTCGATGCACATTTTATCTGGGGTGCCTACTCATGAAAGCCACTCAAAATCAGAATGCAACTCCAAGAAAATACTTATGTCAAAGGGGGCAGAAGCCAGAGTGTTAACCATTAAATTTAAGCTGTTGAACTATCTCTTTGACTTACTTTTCCCACATCTTACTGTTTCTCCATTCTCAAAAATGCCTAAAGCTCTTGGAATACTTAACTCTTCCACAGTCCAGTCCCAGTTATATTTCAGGCTTTGTCTCCCTACCCACATGGAAAGGAACAGTGATAAATTACTTCAGCTAGCTGTGCGTGTGAAAAGTAAGGTATGTTTTTACCAGAAAATATTACCATACAATCACACCACCATATTTTCTGGAAAATCTTGGAGGTATATGATGAGTTCATTCTCTCCTAATGTTCTTTTTCCATCTCCAAGGAATTTCCAGCCTATGAAAGATATTAAAGGTTTTAAATTACTCAAACCTAGTATGTTCTTGAGACCAAGAAACCAAAGCCAGATTTTCCCCAGAGTATCACATGTCTGCAGAGAACCTCTCACTGGGTGGCGTCCTCTGTCATTTTCAGCCCTCGTATGTCCTTCTTGCACTGTACTTGAAGAGTTTGTTGTCCCTGTCATGGTCCCAGAGGAGTAGTTGACTCCCACAGTGAAGGGGTCTGCTCTGCCCGTTGAAGAGTTGTGACCCCGTCTCTTCATTTCCAGTCACATGTGTGACTATTTTAACCTGCGACCACGTTATTGCTGTATAGACCTGCCCTTCATGTACCCAGTTGTTAATTTCCCCACCAAAATGTAGATGCAACACCCCACTACCCCTTGATCACCAAAGCAAGCCTTTGCATCAGTCCTCTGATAAAACGTCATGACCCGGCTTTTTGATTTTTCAGATGTTGATGAGTGTTTGGCTCCAAGTACTTGTCCAGATGAGCAGTGTGTGAATTCTCCTGGATCTTACCAGTGCGTTCCCTGCACAGAAGGATTCCGGGGCTGGAATGGGCAGTGCCTTGGTAGGTACTAGCGTGGTCTTATAAAGCTTTGGTGTCTTCTCCTGGCTGATTTTCTGAAAGAGTGATACAAACCTTTTTTTTTTTTTTCAAAATGAAAAAGTTAAAAAAAGGATGTTGCAAAGTTCTGTCATCCTGATAAAGCTTCTAAGAAAAGTCAAACAATTTCTAACCATAGTGAAAATTAGAAAGTGCGGTGGGATTTTTTCATGGGATAAATGAGTAAAACCAGTTGTTTCCTTGATGTGATAAATAACTGGAACTAAGTAAGTCAATAAGCACCATAGGGAAGAGAAAGGTGTGGAGAAAAATGATTAGAAAAAGAACAGGCATAAGAGGCTACCACAGATGAGCTGAATTAGGGAATTAACAAGCACAAATTTGAAACAGAGGTACCAAGTGTAGAAGGAGAGAGATTTATTGATTGCTCATGCCTCTTATATTCATCCAGGTATTCATTTAAGTATTTATGAAATGCATTAGGCACTGAGGAACGTAAGTGCTAAATTCGCTTTGATTCCAACGACCCTGTGCTCAGTTAGCTGTGTCTTCGTAGCTTTTATTTGTGTTTTTACCACCATGTGGTCCTCTTCGAAACTGAACTGTTTGCCACTCTGTGTCAGGAGTCTGATGATGCACGTTAAACTTTTGTTCATTCATTCATTCATTCATCCTACAGAGATTGACGAACTTACTGTTTCTACTCAGAATTGGACTGAGTGCTGGAATAACCTGAGGAACCAAAAAAAGTTCCTTCAAGTTTCATACTCTCTATCAGGGGAGACTAAGATCATCTTCAGGTGTAAAAAGGCTCTGGTGACTGAAGGGTGAGAACAAGTGGGGATTCACTGCAAGATGAGAGACAGAGCCTTTTGGATCCTCTCAGTCCTCAGGAAAAAAAATGTAGATAATGATTCTCATAGCTCTTGGAAGATATTTCAGGGAGGGGTGGAATAAGCAGTCATGGCAGAAGCACGTACAGTTTCAAGGGTTTGGACTCGTCCCTGGGTAGCATCAGTTCAACCTGTGTTCTTGGCTGCCTAGCTTCCTGCTCTGATTCTTGAGCCCATCACCAGAGTTTCTATCTGTGACTATGAGATGTTGATCTTTGGGGAGAAGGAATGTTTTCTTTCATTAATTGTATATTTGACAAGCATTTGCTTATCGAATGTGATCGGTGCTGGTCAGAAAATGCATTTGGTCTTAATTTTCTCACTTGGCATTAGGTTTCATATTTGTCTATCAAGATCCCAGTGTGTTCTCATACTGATGCATATTATAATCCAAGAGCAAGAGTTTGAGCAGCACCTTAAATAACTAAAATTCACAATCATCATATAAACACAGCCTTGATTCATGGGTTTAATAATAGAATGTGACCGAGCAAATTGGCAAGTGGATAGCAAGCACTTCAGTATAAATGCACCTACTCAGATTAGGTGATAATTATAAGGCTCTTACACCTATATCTTTGCACTCAATCTAATTGTGACCACTTTGCTCCAGTTTAATAACAGAAACACAGCATCTCATTTAAAGGTAATTTTACTTTGCCAACCAGATTAGTAGACTCAGAAGCAGAAATATTAGGTCACTGTGTTACACAACCAAAGTCACGCACTCAACCATTTATTCCAAGCAATAACTTTCATTTATGCTTTGCCTCACATTTCCTATTACTGAAAATGGACACTGCATTTTTTCTTTCTGCTTTGGGTAAAATTTTCAGCTCTAAGTGATCTAGAGGTAAAACTCCTCTTTGACATAATTGTACTTCCATCCTAGTTTTGTTAGACTTGTAGCTCTTCTAAATTTCTCAGGAGGGCTTTTTCAGATTATACCGAAATGGATTTTCCATCTTAATTTTTTTATAGTAGGAGAGATTTCAAATGTTGAAAAGTTGAGTGTGACACAAAGCAGATACTGTAACATACTGAGCCAATGAGTGAATTGGATTTTTCTGCTAAACTCTAACGATGCTAATGAAGACCCAACCATATGTTTTGTTCCTTTGTACTTTTCAGTACTCACCTTTGTACTTCCGATACTTTAAATTGATTCAGAGGGCACCGTCCTTACTTAAGCTTATCTCTGAGATGAACTTATCATTAGCACAACTTCAGATATATGTATTAGAACTTTTAATAATTGAGTGACTGTTAGGAACCAGATGTTTTCTTAGACCCTGGGGATTTAACATGAACAAAATTCCCTGTCTCATTGCACCTATTTTCTAGAGTTCACAGTGTGCTTAGAAATAAACAGGTAAGCAAGTATGGTATGGCATGGTATGTTAGGTGCTATGAAGAAAAATTAGCATAAGGGAGCTGAGGGGTGTTAGAGATTCCGCGGTCAGAGAAGGCATCCAATAATAAGTTACAGGGTGTACTTACTGACCACTCATTTATGACTCTTAACAGTTATCTGTGATTAGTTTGTGAGTTTCTATATGTATTTTTTAGCCTGGATAATGTAGGATACATTGACACTTTTCCCAGTTTTTAATGTATGGGACTAATAACTATTATGAATTTTTTTCATAATCTCACCATTTGGAGAAAAGGTCTACATCTGACACTTGTAGTTGTCATCTACAAAGATGATAATCTCTACCTCACAGGGAAATTCTGTTCCTTATGTCTTAGTAGCTCTTGTTTTCTGCCACTGTCCTCTCATTGACTATTTTAAAAATTATTGTAATTAAACTTGTACAGTATTTACATATCCCTTTGATTTGTTTTTATGCATTTTTGGCATTATCATAAAAAATAAGCATCAATCTTCATGTTGATTTGACTCTTTTCTATTAAATGGTTTCATTTAAGAATTGTTATTTTAACCGTATGTTCTACAGGGATTCCATGCCAGTTACACTTTCTGCTTCTTTCATTGACTTAAATGGTGAACTTGCTGAAACTCTTAATGGCCTCTTTGTATTCTTGCCATGTAAGCGGGGTCTTACTGATTGATCCCTCTCCCTGATTTATGAATTAGAACAGAAATTGTTTGGAGCAGAACCTGGTAAAGTGTTCGCAGGTATTAGCTGGGGGACCACATTTTTTTCCTGGAGTTTAGTTCAGGGTATCTAAGTCTTCACTCTCAATAGTTTATTGTCCATTAGCAAAATATCTTTCATTTTCAGTCTCTTCCTAACACACATCATCATCCCTTCAGGCTTTTTGGCTGCTGCGGTTGGCTCTTCTGGTAACGTAGCTGCTTTTCAAATTGTAGATTTCGATCCTCTCTTGAGAACCACTTTCATCATTCAGCACTGCAGTGCTTGGACCTCACACTCTGCTTGGAGATGTGTCCCATCCTGGTGAGCCCCGCCCCCGGTGACTATTTCATCACCCTGTGTTTTGGCCAGTTCCTTCTGGCAGCTTCAAGCATGACCCTTCTTGAGGGAAGCCAGCCTGTCAGGTACTTCAATTACAGGTTTCTCTTGCCTCATGGAGAACTAGCTTTATTCAAACCTTTCTAGAGTTGTTCCCCAAAGGACATTCTCTAATCCTTCATGGTTTAAAAGTATGTTAGTTTCTCTCATACAAAGATCCCATTTTCCTGAATTGAGATAGACTTTGGGGTCTTGGAAACCTTTGAAGTTTAGTTTCAGTATCAGTAGAACAGAATTGAAATATGTTCTTCCTAAGGTTTATTATTGTCAAAATTTGAAAATGACCAAGTACCCAGTAAGGGGTCCACTGACACTGCTAGGGTTCAATGGTAAGCCTTCTTGCCTCTTACTTGTCCTGAAATACAAGAAATGTGTCAGTAACTGACAACTACTAAATTTTGTGTGAGCATCTCAAACTATCTTCTCTTTGACTTTCTTTAAGCTGATCTCACAAAGTTTTAACTCTGCTTAGTCAAAGGCACTAGCCCTTAGGACTTTAATCTTAATTTAAAACAGATTCTTAGTGTTTTTCATTTGACTTTTTTGGAGTTAACTGTCATGAATCTTAAGACGTATGAACCTATTCCCTGAATCATATACAGTGTTGTATACCATTTCAATTCTTTTACCATTTTTTGCTCACTTTCACTAGAGACAACATCTGCCACCTGGTGGACACATGTAACTCACCCTTTCTCAAGTGTTCATCTTGCTTTACACTTGAGTCTGTGTGGCCCAGACAATTGAATTTCTGAAATTTTTAGCAGAAGTAATCCTCCTTTGTCAGCTTGTAATGGACTCAACAACTCAGTAACTGCCAAATAAATTTCCTAAATGTAATAGATCAATGTATTTGAATGACTTAGTACCAGTCAATCACTGGGCACTGGCGAACCACAATCTTAATCAAAACCAGGTACAGAAAACTTGGAGGATAAACATGGAACACTCTTTGTTTTAGGAGTTCTTGTCACAGGATTTATTAACTTTTATGGAATATATAACTATTCGTAGAGTTAGTTTGAAATGAAGGACTTTAGTTCTACATTTATTTTATATAATATAGTAACTGAGCTCAATGTCTGTCTTGTGAGATTATTATAAAATGTGCAAACATCAACCTTAATTCCAAATCTTTATTTACTAAAGAAGTATTCTAAACCATCAATAAGCTATTGAGCACCTATCTATAGTTTTTCTAGATGTCAGAGAAGAGTTGAAGGTATAAAAGGCAAAACATAGAGTAGGATGGCAGTTCCTAGGGACTAGGGAGATGCTGTCTAAGGATACAGACTTGCAAGTAGTGGAGTCCTGGAGACCTAATGCACAGCATAGTCACTGTGGTCCACACTGTCTTTAAAACTTCCCAACTAGAGCCTAATCTAATGGTTCTTACCACACATAAGAAATGATAGTTATGTGACAAGATGGAGTTGTTAACTAAAGCCTCTGCGTTCATTAGTATATAAATTGTATATAAGTGTATATACAGAGTATATAAATGTATCAACTCATTTTTGTGCACTTTAAACTTAAAAGTGTTATAAATGATATCTCAATTAGAAAGAATCAAACTACTTGTGAAGGCAGAAAACACGCCTGTGTAGGAAGACTAGTTGCTATAAGGACATGGACAAAAATTTTATATAATTTACAAATGGTTTTGGCTTGGTTTCATATAATGTTCCTGGCAGTCACTTGTACAGTACAAGCAGGAATGATTCAGAAAGAGGTGAACGTCCTTGCTCAGTGTCTAGCTCAGGAAGAAGTAGATGGCTCTTCTGTTTTTTATCTCCAAAATGAGCATTTTGTTAAGTAGCGTGCCTCATCTCTCTCTTGCACATACAAGGGTATTAGAGAATAATAAAATATAATGGAGACAATAGGAAAAAGTTCCCAGACAGAAGAGAGCTGTGCGACTGAAATAAATCCCTTGCAAGCACCGACAGGAAATGCCCAGTAATTGTAGGGTCCGGTGGTCTACATCTTAGATAGCCACAGTTGCGTGCTGCCAAAATAACAAATGTTCTTTTGGAAAGGTGAGGAAGGAAGAAAGTCTTTCCATGGGACTAGTAAACTTCCTTTCAGAGGTCAGTGCACGTTGTTTCTTTCTTTCTTTCTTTACATCTAGGGTCTATACGGCATTGGCTCTTTCCAATTATACAAAGTGGTGATGGGCCTTGGAGGAGTGTATAGCATTTTTTGTCAGCAGTTCTGCTACTGAATGTTTAATTTGTTCAGAGTTGACAGGGGTCTGAGATCTGGAGGGTTTACTATACCTCAAGTGCAGTTGAGGCTCAAACTGGCCTAACCAGCATCTGTCTCTCATTTCACTAAGCTTTCTTTTCTGTCAAGTACATTCTACCCTCTTCTTTAGTGTACAAGACTATATGAAGAAGAGTTGAAGTCATTGAAGTCATGGTTATCGGGGGTGGGGCCAAATCCTATATTTTCATGTAGCCATAATGATGGATGAGATATTTTCTTCTCATACTGAATGGTGCTCACTCATTAAATCTGTTGATGATAAGGAATGGCAACTGAATGGCTTCATACAAATGTCTGCTCACAGTGCTGACAGATCCATCACCACAAAAGGACAGGAAATAAAGGTAAACTGTTTCTCTGGAACCAATTCTGACCAACCCCAAGTTGCTGATAGATGAAGAGGAAGGGGGTTGGCAGCACAGCCTTGGGAGAACATGACTCGTGATGTCAGGCACTGAATCCCACCAGCGCTTCAGAGGTCACATCCACCAGGGAGGGGCCAGAGGCAGTGTGATGTGTTCTGGGACCTTGGGAAGAGACATTTCCAAGGATATCAGACCCGGTTGAATTACATCCCAAGGCAGAGAGAAAATTTGCAGGTGGGATTACCACCATCTGGGAATCATCTTGGTGAAATTGTGAAGAATGGAAAGTTGCCAGGGAACTAAAGAGAGATTAATGTCCTTATTTCCCTCCAAAAGGGAAAGAAAAAGGAGTTGAGGAATAATGACTGCTGAACTTCATGTTGATCTTTTCTAGGAGCTGTAGCCCACAGGATTCAGTGATGAGGTGAAACATTTCTAAATGGAAGTGAAGATCATAGGAATCAGCCAGGGTTCGTTAGGAACAAGACATGTGCCAACCTATCCTAGCTGCCTTTGCGAGGGCTCTTGGAATCGATCAACAAATCCTGTAGGCACAGCGGATCTAGTTTTCAGTGAGGCATTTGTTAGGAAATCTCTCAAGATGTTGTCATGAGAAGACTCCGTTTAGACTGAGTGATGGTGAGGTCGTTTCATAAACTCTTGAACTATCACATGTATGTAGTGCTGACCTCATAGCAACATCCTTACTGTGGGGGGTTTTAATTACTTGAATTGCAGATGGTAAGTTGTTATGTGCCACAAAGCCCATTAGTAACTTGGTGCTTTCTTTGGGGGGGGGGGAGAAGAAGGTTTGGAACCCATTTTTCCTTGGATACATGAGAATTTCCCTTTTGAGCTCATTATGTATTGGCAATGTTAAGAATTTGGGTATTGTGACTATTTTGTAAAGCCATAAACTTAAGAGTAAAGGCAAGGTCTGAAGCAGAGAAAGAAATAAAGACTAGAATAGCAATCCAGATGAGAGGATGGTGGCAATAAGAATAATATAAAGTGGGTGTGTTTGAGAGATATTTGGAAGGTAGAATTGCTAGGATTTTGTAACAGATTGATGGTGGGGAGAGAGAATGAATAAGGAATCCGAACAGAATCACTCCCAGGTTTCCAAACTGGACTTTAGAGTGAGCTTAGTACCCCATGAGAGATGGCATAAGAGAAAGAGGGTGGGAGAGGCTCAGTACTGACTGAGGGGATGCCGTCGTCTGCAGTTAGAGAGGGCTGGGCTAGCTAGACAAATGCTGAGTTTGTTTCACTCCATTTATAACCATGTGTTTTTATGTGTAGCCCCACCCCAGGCCCTTGCCCTCTCTTGAGATAGTCTTCAGTGATCTTTTACTATATAGTGATTTCTTTAAGAGCATCAACTCACCCATTCTACTCTGTGTACAGGTGAATGGCTGACATGACAGGGTTCTGGTTCCATGCAGTTATGTCTGTGATAAATAAAAGCAAAAAATAAATACATCAGGCTGCCCTAGATATTTTCAAGTCCTTCTGCTTCATCATCGAGCACAGTAGTAGCCGGATGCAGGTTGTATAAGAATCTCATGAGCGCTATTCCACACTGTCTACTTACCTCAACTAGAGAAAATAGGATGTTAGAGTGGACTTTGCTATTCAGTCCCATGACCCTGCACATCACATTCCCTGGCGCGTGAACAAGTAACCAAAGCAATCCCTACATTTCTCAACTTGCTCGCATTTTTGAAACCCAGCCAGATAGTAGACATGACATTTTCAGGGTGCTCTGGAATTTCCATGTCTGGTGTCTCGGATCATGCTACCCACTGTTTACTTTGGCGCTGATGCTCGGCTGCTGCTTTCAAGCTGTTTGCTCTCAATGTTTATGAAAATGGACTCCCACAGTGAACAGGAGACAGGCATGAGTCAGCCTGGAAGTGCTATTTCTGTGGCCATGCAGGAGGGCCAGTCACCATGTTCAGTGGTTTAGGGAACTCGAGGTCAAGTGCCTAGGCGGTACCCCTTGCTTGGCTGTTCACAGTGTGCCTTTCTTTCCTTATTTTGGTAAAACTCTCTTTCTGAGTTCCATTGTGAGAAAGATGGACTGCCCTTTAAATCAATATGCTTAATTGATAGGATGCAGTCTGACACTGAGGTGCTGAACTCCAACTAGATCTCTATTGTTAATGCGCCCACGACTCCCTGTTACTTCCTGCTCCTACCAGGGGTAGATTTGCTTTATTCTTGTCATGAGCCAGTGTAAAAAGAAATGGGTGTCATTGGGAGCTTTTCCTCCTCATTCTTTGCCCGGCAATTAAGCATATTGATTAAGTTAGGGACATAATAAGTCTAAATAGTGATACTGTGCCTGTTAGTTTAGCACTTTGTCATTAAAGTTTTTCCTCTTTGTTTTTGGATATTGTGTCTGCTCCCAGACGCACTTATCTGGGGCATACCAATGAAGCACAGAACTCAAATTTCCTTTTTTGAACTATCAACATGCTGGTAGGAGCTTAATGAATGATTGCTGAGTGTGACCGCTAAATATTCAGGTGATTATTTTTTCTGTAAGAGCTGTATTAGTAAGTAATAAAATCAGATTCATACATTATTTCCTTACATGTCGTTAATCATTAGTCTTAACTTAGCCTGTGGCAGAAGGTACAGTCAGTCTAAAAGGATGGACTTTGGAGTCAAATCTCTAATTTTGTGATTTTGGGCAAGTTATTAAGCTTCTTATGTCTTAAATTCCTTCTTCTGTAAACTGACTAGCTCATACGAATTTTATTAGGATTAAATGAGATAGTATGTGCAAAGCCTTTAGTGTCTGCATGCGCTAAGTGCTGGATAGAGATATATTACTACTTTATCTGACTCTTCAACCTTTGCTTCAAACTGCTCAATAGGTTATTTCCCCCGTAGGTTGGTTTTATAATATTAATTCACCTTAGAATTCTGGTTCTGTGCAGTTATGTCTATAATTTATTTATTACAAAGAATAAATACATCTTGCTGTCCTAGATACTTTTCTAGTTTTTGTTTGTTTTAGCTTTCTGTCACAACTGTTCTCGCATTTTCTCTGGATCATGAGTGCTGTCTTTTGAATCCGTAAACCTTCATATCACATTAAACTCATTTCCCTAAGGTTACATCTTTGATTCTTTACAATATTTTAATTTTGGGATATATTGCTCAAACTCCAGTATCCCTTGTTTTCTTCTCTCTATCGGCTTCCATTGCATTTATTCAGAGTCTGTATTTGCCTCCTTTTTTGAGTAACTTGACATAAAGTAACAGAACTGCAAGACACACATCTCACATCAGAGCTCTGTTTCCCTCTAAGGGCTAATGTGTGAGCTTTTCTTCAAGAATCTGCTGCTTCTCAGATCTGCTATTTCCATTTCTAACCAAATTCAATTTCATTTTTTTTTTCTCTCCATCTTTTTCTTTTTCTGTCCTTTATGCAACATTCTGCAAGACGTGGATGAGTGCCTGGAACCAAATGTCTGCACAAATGGTACTTGTGCCAATCTCGAAGGCTCCTACATGTGTTCATGCCACAGAGGCTACACCCCAACTCCAGACCACAAGCACTGTAAAGGTAAATACTGTGGCCAAGTCTCCTTTTATTTGGACTGTACTCAGGGACAAACCAGGGTAACATAATCAACAGAAAAGTGACCGTGGTTTCACTTACTTTGAGCTACATGAAGCATATTTTGGGTTGGTGTCTTTGTAAGCGTGCCTTGTTAATACAGACCGTATCTATTTATGTAAAAGAAACTGTGTTTTAGAGAGCATCTGTAAATCACAGATCTAGTTAAAATATTTCTGGTTGTAAAACAATATATGTGGTTGCATGATTGAATATAATAAAAACTATTGAATGGTATACTTTAAATAGATCAGTTATATGGCATGTGAATTATTATCTGAATGAAATTGTTCTTGAATAAAACCACATACATTGTAGAAAGTTTAGCAAATGCAGAAAGATGAAGTAACCATTATTCATAGTTCCATTTGAATATACTTGAAAATATAGTTTATTTTTAAAGTTGTGATCCATGTGTAATTTTATATCTTGCCTTTTGTCACTCAATAGTATAAGTTTATATTGCTAATAACCCTTTTAAAAGCTTATTTCATTTTCAAACATTTTTAAAGATTGCATAATATTCCAGTGCCTTATGTTGTCATTGTCTTGCTACTTTTCAGATGTTGGTTGAACATATTTTTTTCAACTTCTCACCATCATTTTAAACAGCACTGTAACAAGCTTTTTGAAAAAGAACTTTGACTTTTAGGATTATTTCTTTATTATTTATTAGGATTATTTCTAAAATTGTTTGGTAAAATATTAGGGATGCATATAATTTCAATATGAAACCTAACTACTAGCTATTAAAATGTGTGCTTTTAATTATAGAAAGATTTAATATTTATTTCATATGCTTATTTCCTTTAATAATTACCTGAATACTTGCAATAATTAAGCACTTCATGTTTGTTAAACATTTATATTTCCTCTTTATAAATTTGTTCATCTCTTTGCCCTTTTATCAGGCTTTTAAATCAATATCTATGAGTAAATATGTAACATGTTTATTCATGTATATATATGTTACATACATCTTTTTTTTGCATGTTGTAATTTATCCAAGGTTTCCTTAATTTTTCTATCATAACTCTTAAAAAAACTTTTCTTTTGATATTAACATCTACTGACCAATATATTTCTCATTTCTTTTACTGCTTTTATGTCTAAAAGCATGCTCATTAAGGGGAAAAAGAAGAAATACATAAAAACTTTTGAACTTTCACTGAAGTATCCCAGTGAAAGTAAAGGCTCTAGGATGATGGTTAATTTCACACTCTGGCAGGGAAACAGTAAGCAGATAACCGCTGTTTTCTAAGAATTGAAGCATCGCCTGCTGATAGTAGGAATCTCAAGACACCTGAATTAGGTGCCTGCCTTCTTTCCTAGAACATAGTACCAGCCACTTCCAGAGAAACATACACCATCAGCACACCTCTTTTCTCCTGGCACTTCTCTCTGGATACACAGGCATCGCCTTCCTAACTGATGCACTAAATAAACCAGGCTCTTTTCACAACAAATTAAACATGAGTCTTAACCAAAAGCTATTATTTCTTCCTTCCTATACCGAGTTAATGGAGGGTGAAGATTTTAAGTGTTATAGGTTGATGTTCATCTTCATTTGATTGCTTTTTCAAGTTTATTTTTTTTTCCTGTCAGATTATCTTCTTTCTTCCCAACCTACCTCCTTTGTAAAACTTACTTATTATTCTTGTAATGTGTCCCAGTCTTCATATTCTAAATTTGTCACTACTGCTTTTTTCAACTTGCCTTCACTGAGCCATCTAAGTTGATGTCACAGTTGCCTTATGAATCTTCTGTGCTTGCTTGGGCTTAAACAGTAGCTCATAATAATTCCATTTGCATACCCTTCTTTCGTCATTGCTTAACTGAACTGTGGTTCTAACAGTGCTTCACTGTAACACCTTGAAGAATCATCTCAGATTGTTAGTTCTTATGATCCCTAGAATTCAGGGATTGGGCTTTTGATGGGAATAGTGCTCAGAGAAGACACTCAATGAATCGGTGATCCATTTTCCACTTTCTTGGCCTTTGCCATCCTATGCCTTCTCCTCTCTGTTAGGTCTCCCAGAATTTACACATCAATTAATGCCACCCCTAGGAATACTCATGTTTTCCAATATACAGTTTTCTGCCGGACCACTGTAGAAACGTCTCTTCTTGCATTCCTTCCTCTTCTTCTCCTAAGAGTTCCAGGCACCGTGCTCAGTTGTGGATGTTGCCAGTGACTATAATCTCTCAAGGAACATTTACTCATTGTGAGAGATGCAAACTAACAACAGGTACTGAAGATAAGAAAGTACCAAGTGAAGTGATGAAGTTTAATAGCATCGGTGATGTTATGTGCTCCTGAACAGCTCTTCTGCTCTTTTCAGAAACCCACTACCCCAGTCTAGTCATGAGAAAAACACCAGACAGATCCAGACTTGGGGCACTCTAGAAGATTCTAGCCCATATTCCTTGAGACATTTAAGGTCCTGAAAAACAAGGCAGGACTGATAGGGGAGACAACTAAGCACAATACAGTACCTGGAATTAGATCCAGGAATGGAAAGAAGACAGGAAAAACTGGTGGAATCCAAATAAAGTGTGGATTTTAGTTTAAAAAAACAAGGGCAGCTTACCAGATCTCAGCTCTGACACTCAAGCTCTGTGAGCTTGCTTAAGTTATCTTAGTTCACCAAGATACTTTGTCACTTGCTAAAAGGTAACGATACTGATAGTTACTCTGGTTTATGGGAAGATATGTGTGCAAAATTCAAGGACAGAACAAATACACAGAATGAGGTAATAGAAGGATAGAGTATGTCAGGTTATAGCTATTATCATTTGTCATATATGTACAAAATTTTATTAAAGCCAAGAAGCATGAGATGAATTCTGTTTCAGAATGTCTGGAAAAGCTTCCCAAGTTGCTAATTGAACTTGGTCTTAAGATATTGACTGCAGAGGGGAGAAAAACTGAACAGGTAGAAGACACAGTACATACTAAATCCACTTATCTTTTACTCAGATTCTGTGGGTGTCTTTCCATTATATCTGTAATAGGAACAGGCAAAAATCTCATCAGCTTCAGAAACCTACATATGTACTAATTGTTTTTCTTCCTCCCTGATCAAAACCCTGCCTTTTAATAACAATAAATTATACCACATCTTTTTCTTTTTGATGTTCTTATTGATGAATGTTTCCCAAGCCAAGCCGCTGTTGATGTCAGCATCTTCCCAGATTGTAAACATGTTCCTTTTCTAAAATCCTGCCACTCTGTCAGTTTCACTTGGTGTTAGTTCCTAACTTCATCTTCACCTCACTAAATGCGCTGACAATTTTTTTCAGGGTGTAAATAATTTATTGTTCCTCTCACATCTTTGTATCTGTACATTTTAGCTTTATATGTTTCTAATTAATAAATGTCTACATCTAGTTTGTATTTTGACTCTGTCTAGGCTTGTTACAGTAATATGAGCAAGAAATCTCTTTAAAAGCATCTTTGATGAGAGTAACATTTTCTTTTTATAGCTTAGCCTGCCTCCCCCAGAGAGAAGACATTTGTCCTGTATGCCTATTTTACTAGAATGTCTTCTTCTGCCTTTGAAATTTTATCCCTCATCGGAGAAAAATAAAATGCCCTTTGATGTCCAAAATCAAGTGACCTCTGTCCCCCTGGGTCATTTGGAAGACCCAATAATCACTTCTTTCAAGATAACTGGGTTGCTTCAAGTTATTCTAAATGTGTGTGTGTCATTATTTCTAGTTAATTACTTCTAGGTACTTTACTGGTAATTTATGTAAGATGTGTGGAGTACCTTGACAGTACTTGGAATGGAAGGTATATATTTGCTGCAGACATCCTCACATGGAAATGTTTGATTTGTTACCATCTTTGAGAGTGTCAAAAAGAGTCCAAGACACTAAAAATGTCATCAGACATTGAGGGATCCAACCAGCTACATGAGCTATTGCTGGTCTTAAGTTTCTGAGACAACATCGCAAGCATTTCGTAGAGTGTGCTGACAGGAAGTGTGATGCAGGCTGTTCTTTGCTGCCAACTATTCCCATATCTAACAGACTCAGGACACTAGCAAGCGTAAAGTAATGCTTCAGATGATATTTAGCCTGCTTATTTAACTTCATCGGTAGTCAACAATTGGCATCGGACTTACTAATCAATCAAACGTCAGTGTAGTCAGTAAAACAAGTTTCAAACCAGCTAGAGAAATTTCTATTAAAAATAATAAAAATTTGAAAATATACTAATAACATTTGTGAGCCACCATCAGTGGCTCACCATCAGTACAATTTAAAAACATTATGCTTCATTAGAGGTTAAGAAATGCAGCTTTCCTCAGAAAACAGGTAATTGGCAGTAATACATGAGGAAAGAACTGTGCAGTTACTTGAATTCTCCCCAAAACATCCAGGTGCATTTTGAATTAGTCATTTGTAGAAGAAAACAGTTATACATTGGCATTTAGAACATGGTTTCCTTAAATTCTGCTTTTTAAAATTTATTACTCCATTTAGATTAGGACTTTTCTCTCTCAATTTCTTCTTTAAGTATAAGGCTAATTCACGGCTGCTCCCCCACCCCCATGTAGTGTTTTTAAGGAAATATTGTAATAAAATGTACTATTAACCATGCATTTAAGAATATACTTCAGGTGTGTTCACATTGTCATGCTACCATCTCCTGAGCTCTTCCCTCTTGCTAACGGCAACTCTGTGCTGGTTAAACACTAATTCCCTGTGTCCTCTCCTTCCAGTCCTTGTCAACCACCATTTTGCTACCTGCCTCTAGGAATTTGACTACTCTAGACACCTCCTATGGTTTGAACGTCCTTTGTGTTCACCATGAATGTTATCCCTAAGGTTCATGAACATCATAGCATTTGTCAGAATTTCCTCCCTTTTGTGAGGCTAAATAATAATCCATTGCATGGACATACCACATTGTTTACACATTCAGCCACCAGCACACCCTTTTAGCTGTTGTGAATGAGTATGCAAGTATCTCTTCAAGAACCTGTTCTACTTTGGAATATGTACCCAGAGATGAAATTAATGGATCATACGGCAATTTTATCCAAGTTCAACCAGTTGTCATTATTTGTTTATAGATATCAACGAATGTCAGCAAGGGAATCTTTGCTTACATGGGCAGTGCAAAAATACTGATGGCTCCTTCAGGTGTACCTGTGGACAGGGATACCAGCTGTCAGCCACAAAAGACCAGTGTGAAGGTAGGAGGGGAGAGTGGGCACTGTAATTTCAGTATCAGGCCCCTGAATTGAAAATTGTGCTCTCTGTAAAGTGAATATGCCACTTAGAAATTACTTAGGTGACCAACACTGCTCCCAATAAGGACTCAAGCCCAAGTTATGGAAAGTCTATGAAACAGGATTGGGAAAGGTTAAATTTTTAAAATGTGCCATTAGGGTTCAGTGCTGGGCAATGATATTAGAAAGACACTTTAAGCGTGTAAAAACTTCTAAATCAATTTAATGGAATTATCAATAATTTCCTTAATACGGAATTACAAAGGGAAATAGTTATTATTTCTAGTAATATTATGCCTTGGAATGTTGGTAACCTTCATTTCTGTGTGTATTTACCTTTTTCAGTTTCTTTTCCTCTTTAAAAAGTAACACAAAAGACGAGAGAGATTGATGGTAGTGTCCCTTTTATACTCTGAGATAGTTTGTGAAATGTGTCTTGTGATAGGCACAATATGCAGAGTTCTTGAAAAGAAATGTCATTATAAGGCATTTAAGAGAATCCATACTACATAAGACCATTTGTTTTCTTAAGTCTTAATATTTAACAAACAAAAAAGTCTCCTGAGATGGTTATAAAAGAAACAATATATGATGAAACTATAGAGATCTACCAGTAATATCACCTTGCCCAATTTTCCCTTTCAAGAACATAGAAAGCTATTGCAAATTCCTGTCTACAAGTGGAGGCTGTTAGAGCGAACATACACAGATGAATTTAGTAATTCTAGATGCTTTGAGTCCTTCTCAGAATTCTTGTACTTTATGTTGTGACCCCAGATTTTTGTTAGTTATCTGAGCATTTAATGAATACATGCCATGCGTAATAAACTGCAAATAAATATACAAGAGGAGACGTCTACATCAAATATTACAATATGTATAAGTCTCTTCTTCTGAAGAGCCTACAAGGTCATTCCCAAGGACAAGTCAGGAACCTGCAGATTATTGGGGGGTGTCATAAGAGGGGGAAAGAGCAGTGTTAGCTTCTACAGAATGGCCAGAAGCAGAGCAGGAATAGTCTCAAATGTTATGAGCCAACCTGCAACAAACAACATGACTCGAATGCTGGTGGTGAAACGCTTGTCCAGCTCTACCCCTTTCAGCCCCTTTGTCCCAGTTTACTGTTCCCTTCCCTTTCCCTTGTGATAACACCCCACCCACCCCACGGTCCAGATATTAGTTTGTTTTACTGAGCTTATCGGTTCGTTTTCTCTGTATGAGCAACAGCACACATATTTGTCCAAAACAGGCAGTGGATGGACTTGGTGTCTGAGCTGTAGCTGGATCCTGCCTTAAATTGTTGCAGGCCTGAGTGTTGTCAAAGTCACAGTGTTTGAGCTGAATCTGCAGAAGAAATCCAAGAACTTGTTGAGGTTTATGGATCACAGCAAAGCATTTGTCACTCATCAGTGACATTAATAACTACAGATTCTGGACTCATTGGCTAAAATTTTAAGTTCTCCTAAATGTTCCCTGCTGGGGGATTAATGTCTTCATAGAAGTCAGTTCATTCATGTAAAGAAAAATCGAATCGACATTATTTATAGACCACAGAGTTCACAGACCTCCCTGATGAATGACTGAAAGTAGTCCCAGTCCCACTTGCGTGTCTCCTTTGTCCTCTTGCATGCAGATGTCGATGAGTGCCAGCACCGCCACCTCTGTGCCAACGGGCACTGCAGGAACACGGACGGCTCCTTCCGCTGCATGTGCAACCAGGGCTACAGAGCATCCGCCCTCGGGGACCACTGTGAAGGTGAGGACCAGTCCTGCTTCAAAACTGGGAACGGCTTGAGTCAGAGGGAAGCCTGGACCAGCATCCTGCCTCTGTCTTGGAGTCTTTTAACTTCACAGATGAGCATGTTGGGTCCCCGTGAGGCGTTTTCTCCAGTCACACAAATAATGCAAGGGAGGGAGGGAAATCCAGGATTTCTTTGCACTGCTGGAAGCTGTGTTCTAGAAGGACTGTGCTAGCTAAAGGAGCAAAGGCTCAATTTAACTCTTCTCAGCTGCAGATGGCTCATTCTAGGTGTGTAGTTGTGAACTAACTCTAATACCTGATTTATGCAAGACTGCTTTCCAAGTCTTCCCAATAAGTAAACACAAGTTATTTTTCCATGTACATGGAAAGTTTTTCAGAGTCAAACTTCAAAGTTTTTCAGGTTTGAATTTTTGGCATAATTTTTTTTATAATGAAATCTCACACCTACAGCACTGTCGTCGTTAACCGCTTTAGCTGTTACCTTGGCTCAGAGCTGCTCTGAGGTGCTCAGGGCTGCCGGGCCAGTCTGTCACCAGCCTGTCACTGGTAAATTCTCTGTTCCTGTCTACCCATGGAACAGGGCTTTTTCCAGCTCACCTGCTGAGGCCCTGCATTTAGAACCCTCTTGGCTGTGAAACTGGACATCGGACTGTTGCCTCTCTCTCCAAACCACCCCCTCACCCACAGAATTAGTCTCTGGGTGAAGTTTTACTGCACCTTGAAAGAAATAGAGGAGCTTTTTTGTGAATTGTTTTGTTTCACGTATCTTATTGTTTGGGAAGATCCATCGTACTTCATGGGCTATTTCTGACCAAGATGTCACAGTCCTTTAGAGGGCAAATTTGGCGTTCAGAGACCTTAAAATGTGCATTATTGTTGTTTAGTAAATCACCGCCTAGAATTTCATCCTGAGGTGGTAAAGTTTCTCAGAGTATTCTAGATACTCTCAATCATTTTAAAGATAACAGTGAAAAGTTGTCATCGGCCTACCTGTTGAAAAATAGACAAATAGCCCAACAAATGACAAGCTAATACAGTAAAATGTCATCAGCTGAATTGTCGTGCTCACGTATGGGTGAATATGCATGACCCAACATGACCATATTTCAACATGAAGATGCGGTTGTGTTGCTGGATCAGTCATAGAAGGAGCTACCCTAGGGGAAAGTTGGCGCCAAGACTAAGTATCTGAACTACCAGGGACTCCCTGTTCCAATGCTGGGTCCAGTGACAGATTTACTAAAACCATTGACTAAGTCTTGGACAGTGGGTCCTCACTGGAAGGCAGTGACTCTATTTTGGCTGTTTCAGAATGTGATCATACCATTAGAATGCCAGGGCTTTTATTCTAAAAACACCCATTGCATAACGAGCCAAACAAAAACATTTTGTAAGTCAGCCTGCTCTTAGTAGTGACATGTACATTTATAAGATACTGTTATGTTCCCCGAGAATGCTGCTTTTGGAGTCTATAGTTGGGTCCCTTTCTCTTAAACTCAGGGCTCATTTTCCTGGTGCTCCAGGTTATAAATAGGACTGGAGTCCATTCAAGTAATTGAGAGCTCCCTTTGAAACTGTGTTAGCATGTCAGTCTGCTGATTCTCAACCAGCACTGGCTCTCCCCAGTGATATTTCCCTGTAATTAACCAAGCCCGGACTGTTCCCATGTCTCTCCCAGCTGTGGGAAGAGCCTCTTTTCCGTCAGTGTCTATTTACGCATAGCCCTCCTCTGGTAACTCTGGCAAGGCTCTTGTTCCTTAGTGTTCCTGCAGTCCTGCTGGCCCTCCCCCGGAGTCAGCCCCAAGTGCTGTGCTAATTTCTGTGTGATTTTTACTCTTAACACTCGCAGTCGTCACTCAGCCTTACCGTGGCGGGTGACCTCAGTGGTCCTGGTATTAGCAATCTCAATCTTCAGAGGCCCTGCCTCTGACTTGTTCATTCTCCAAGCCCAATCTTTTTCTCACTCTTACCTTAGCAGCTTTCTCAGACCCTGGTGGCGGCTGCTCCCAGCTGGTTCCTTGGAAAGCCTGAGATGATTCATGATTTACTCTCTTGTGGCTTTTATACCTCAGTCATTTCTTTGTGGACCAAATAAAAATGTTGGGAAAGATCAATAACATTTCTTTCTGACATTTGCACAGTCAGAATCATCTACTCGTTGTTGGATTTGTTCACCAAATATTTGCATGTCAGTCTGTCCCAGGCACTGTGCTAGGCACAGGCTATATAGCCATGACCAAACTGGCAAAAGTGCTGCCCTCCTGGAGCGTATATGCTAGGGCAGGAGATAACAATGAACATAAGCAAACATACAGTTGGTTGCAGGGCAGTGGATGTTATGGAGAACATGAAAGGCATGGATGGGGCATGCTGAGAGAGGGTAGTGATTTTGAATTAGGAGACAAGCGTCTCTTCCCTGAAATTATGCCATTTTATTACTTTTGGGAAGAACGTTCCATTCAAAGGAAGAGCAGTTATAAAGGCCCCAGAGAGCTGACATTTTGGAAGAGATTATGAGCTCATCTTGAGCATTTTAAGTTCACATCTTTTATGATGAGTATCAGATGAAGATCGCTCTTGAAATTGATGAGTGAGTTCTGGGCTGGGAGAAACCAACGCATAGATAGTGTTTAAAACCAAGAAATTGGAGAAGATCAACAAGGGAGTAAGTGTATCTAAAAGACCAAAGGGCAAGTCCTGGTCACTATGACATTCAGAAGCAAAGAGAGATGAGTCAGAACAAGCAAAGGGGGGAGGTTAATGAAAGTGGCATGTAGGGAAGAGGGGAAATCAGAACCCAGAAGAAGAAAGCATTTCAAAGCATTCGTACCCTTGATGGACTGTGAAGGATAACCGCTAACTCGTCCACCACCAGCTGACCACGGGAGTTAGCAAAGTGGACGTCTTTGGATGACTTTGGCAAGTGTAGTCTTGATGAAGAGGTGACAGTTTGCTGTTACCCCCTTGAAGCCTGTTGCCCAGTTCCAGCAGGAATCTCTGTCTCACGTCACTGTAGGTGTGTGTAGGACAAATCCCATTTGGGCTCCCTTTACAGTCTCTCTGCTCATTTTTGCTTTTGAAGATACACATAGGTCTTACAAAGTTTAAAGCGAACCTGGCTATAACAATGCACTGAATTTTGAAGTCCGCAGATTTATAACACTCAAATTAATGATGCTTTTCCTTCACATTATTTCTCTTAGATTTTGCAAATGGAATGAAAGTCAAATTAATCAAATTTAGAGTAGTATTTTAAATGCTTCCATGACACTGAGCAAAAACCTGGGTATTAGAATGTGTCTCGTTGCTGAAATGTGTAGTCTTAGGATTTTTGATGATTGTTTTTGAGTTGAGATTTTTCACATAATGCCTGTGATCAACTATCGGGTAAATATGGAACAGCTGAACTTTCAAACTCTGATGATGGAAAATGAAATAGTGCAGCAACTTCAGAAAACAGTTTCTTCAAAAGTTAGACCTATTATATGATCCAGCCATTCTACCCCTTAGAATTTTCTCAAGAAAAATGAAAACATACATTCACACAGACTTGGATAAGAATGTATATGGAACTTTATTCATTATATCCAAATGTAAACCATCCCCAAATATTCATCAAAAGGTGAATGGGTAAGAAAATCATGAGATGTTTATATAATGGAATAGTAAGCAATACAGCAGAAAGAGCTATTGATAAACATAACTTTGATGAATCTCAAAAATGCTGAGCAGCAGAAGCCAAACAGGAAAAGGGGTGCAAGGGAAACCTGTATGGTGGTGGAAATGCCTCTCTCTCTCTCTCTCTCTCTCTCTCTCTCTCCTCTCTCCTCTCTCCTCTCTCCTCTCTCCTCTCTCCTCTCT